TAATTTAGAATAGAGCCTGTGAAGAAAGCTACTTACATAGAAATGCGTGTGAGACGAAGCTTTGGGGCAAGGTTTAGACTCTTCTGAATAGTGGTGTGCAGCAGTGCCCAGGCTGGCCCTGAAGTGAGGTGGAGGAAGACAAGCCAATTATGTCAGTCCCAGAAGCTCCACTATCTTCATAATTAGGTGACATCCAGGATTCTCTTTGTGCTGTACCCCATACAAAGCAGCCTGCTCTCAAGAGAGCACAGTGCTATCACACAATTGGCAGTGCTGTTAAAGCAGGGATCCTTCTGCAGAAATAACTAAACCTTCCTCAAAACTAAAAGCCAGCAAACTGCCAACAGCAACAAGACCCAGCATTTCTTCACGCTCTGCAGCTATTTCTAAAGCACTTGCATAAAAATAGGGGTTATACTTTTCCTAGCTGAAAATCAAACATGCAGTCAATTTAGGTCCCAAACGTAATACTCATAAAATGAACCTCTTATTATTTACAGCTCCTGAGAATCTACCAAGGGCTGCAGTTTTTCAGCTGATGATTAAGTTCAACCATCTTGAGATCACGAGGGAGCGATGATAATAAACATAATTAAGACTCTATATTTTGTGCCTGGGATTTTAAAAATCTTTTACTTTAATTTGTAAATGGACAGTTGGTATTGGCATATTTTAACTGGATTTGGACATGAACTTGCAGCAGGATGCTGAAATGCAATTTAAAAAGTATCCATAAAGAGACACGCAACCCCAAGAGAGCTGAAACACACTGCATCCTCTGCAGAAATATCAAAGAACATTTTTGCTGTTAACTAAGTTATGTGAAACATGAGCTTGTTATTTTGGCATAAATATGCTACCTGCCTTTAGACAGAACTTGCTCTCCAGGTGATTAACTGTGGCACTAATGTAGAGTGCATGACGTGAACATTACTGTATATATTTTCCCTTCTTAGCTATGAACAGCTGCACAAGGCTTCATTCTACCAATTCCTGAAATACAGCAACATTTACCAAGTTTGCTCTCATTAAAAGATAGGCCACTATATCTACAAGTGATAAAGTTCTGCTATGATGAGCTCACCTGCAGCTACATGAATTAAAGACGTATATGTCTATTTATATATCTCGTATGTATCTATACACATAAGGTCCATATATCTATCCAACATTGACTGCAGCAAAAGAATAGAAGCCTGGCTATATAGAGGATTTAGGCCCAGCCAATTCTTCTTCTTAGAACTTCAGTTTTAACAGTCGCACTGCAATTAGTCTTAATATTGATCCTGGTCATGCTGAAGCCAAAGGCAAAGAAACTCACTGACTGTTGTGGAGTCAAGTTTGCATTCAGATGCTGCTAGTACAAATCAGTGAAAATGCAGAAGTCCACTTTGGACAAAGTAAAAACCTTACAAGCTTGGGTCTCCATTCTCAATGAAACTCAACTTTCAGAAGAAACAAAGTCACAAAGAACAAATAACTCTCTGCTCATTACAGCTCTTTCAAGGGATGCATGAAGTCTCCCAGGTTGTTTCACTGCAAGGAACAGCTTTACCACCCAATGGCATACACAAGATTGCACGTATTTCACTGAACCACAGGCAGAAGTGCCCACAAATTTTCTTGCATAGCAGTGCCCCAGTTAAAATTAGCTGTTAACATCTGATCACTGAGGAGGAAAGTACAACCCCATCATCCCCTACAGCACGTGCCCAATCCCTGCAGCTGTGACATCACTTCACGACACACAAGCAGATTGAGCTAGCAGTACCAAGTACAGGTCAGAAGTTCTGTGATGATGAAAAACTCCCCTCCATGAAAATCCCATTACTGGGTGATTTCAGAGACTGGAAGTTCTATCTTCCAAGCTCTGAACAACTGTTACTTTGCATTTTTTATAGTGGAACAGTCATCAGGATTAGCAAATGTCTCAGCAAATCTCAGTTCTGTGCACCTTGTTCCCTATAACCCTGAGTTAAGGCTGTCCTAAGCAAGGCACCAGCACCAGGCTGAGGGCAGCAAGACGGGGAGCCAGAAGCAGTAACTTCCCACCCCTTCTAAAAGGGTCCCCTTTGTAACACTAACAAACTGCTCCATAAGCACAAATTTCAACCAGCTCAGCTCCTGGCTCTTTTCAGGCACTGTTTCTGTTATCTGATCATCCCAGAAACCCCAAATCAATAATTACAAAAATGCGACTGAGGATGGATGAGTGCAATAGGTTTGAGCATTCAGTGAACTGAAGCTGCTGCCTTTTACTCCTACTGGAGAAAAAAGTCCAGCCTGGTGCTTCAGAACATTTTCCCCTCGGACTGCTACCAATAATCCTCTTCAGCATTTTTAAAGTTACTACCCCTTACGCTTATCAACAAAAGCTGAAATAACATTAAAGTGATCCTGATAAAAAAGCTTACCAGAATGAGTAAATAAAGGTTAAATATGACCAAGATGGAGACAGAAGAACCAACAACCCAGCCTCCTTTGCTTTATCACAGCCATTGAGATCCCATTCCACAGCCCCAGCCATACACGCCCCTTGCCTGCAGCATGTAGAAAATTACATTTCAGATTATTTATGGAAGTAGTTGTCCTGTCTGCTGCCTTTTTTTTTTGTTTGTTTCCTGCAACTCTATGTGAATCTTCACTTCATTTGATCTTTTTGTTTATCTACATACTCTCTCGACATTGGACTCTTTCCCATGGCTTTCCACCAGAGCAACTGTAAGAACTCTGAAATAATGACCTCTGATTTCTGAGATATACAACACATGTTTTTATACTGGAAACTCGATGTTCCTTCCAGAACAAGGATATAAAATGCCCCAAAGGTTATAACAAACTAAATACACATTTTTTTTGCAAAGGCAACCTATGAACTTGCTGTAATTATTGTAATAAACCACAGCAAGACATCTCCAAAGAACTGTGATTTAAGATTAAAAGCTGTTGGTTCATAAAGGGGTACTATCATAAAACCCTAAGTCATGAGAGAGACAGCACAGAGACAGGAGAGGAGACACAACTGTTTGCTGTCATTTCCAGAACAAGAGGAAATGACCCAAAAATGAACTAGTATCCAAAAATGAAGCTAACAGGAGCCAAAACAGATACGAGCAGCTCTTCCTGCAATAGCAAGGATGTTTCCACAGGCTCAGTGCAGTTAGTTCAAATAGACACACTTGAAATGCATCCCGTGGGGTTTGCCAAACAGACCCCAAGTGAAGCTGAGGAAATCCCCCAAGCTGAAAGCACTTAAAACTGTTGCTGTGCTTTTCCTATTCTTCATTTTCTTTAGGAGTCGGCTCGTGCCTATGGCTGTTGCATGAATAGGGCAGCCCTACCCACCACAGCTTCTCTCATGCCCCACACAGGATGAAGTCCAGCCAGCCCTGTGCCCTACACAACTCATTTGTTCAGCACAAGTGCTCAGCATGTGACTGTATCTTGCTGACACAATGCTAAGTTCACCTGCCTGGTTTGGCATGGGCTTTTTGTTTTTGTTGTTTGTTTGTTTTGAAGAACAAGAGATTTAGCATCCCTTTAATAACGATAACACAAGCATTATCTGTCCCCACAAAAGAGGTATTCTTAAAGGCCTGGCAAATCAGATGTGCTCAAAGTATGAGCAATTAAGAAACCAATTTGCTTATTGATCCCATTCTGACAACACAAAATCTAAACATGGAACCACTCTGGTTGAAGAATTTATATCAGTTCATTCTAATTTTTTTTTTTTAATAAATATTAAAGCCCCAGTCTTCTACAGTTTAGCCTCACCTGTAAGATTTACGAAAGAAGCAGCTGTTGAAGTTAGATTGGTTTAAAATCACTACAAATCAGCTGAAATGCTGTAGTATTCAAAGTTCCGCTGTTCTCTTCAGTCTTTTTTTGGAAACACAACACATTGATACACTTTATATTTACAGAAGAGCCCTGAAGACTGACTCCTTGATTTTCTCCCAGTTGTGCCAAAGTTCTCTAGATGCTGCAGGACAGACCACCGATGTCAGCTCATGCACTCCTGAGATCTGGCAAATGCTGTGGAAGCAAACACCTCCCTCCCAAATAGGGCCAGCTGTGTCACAGCAACAAACAACAAGCAGGATTTTTCCTACAAACCTTTATGATTGCCGAAGACTGTGCATTTATTTCTAGAATTTTTGGCATAAGAACAGCTGGAGGATAAATTGTATGTACTAACTGCCCATACATGCAAATGTATCCTTCAATAAATCAGACATTCTGAGCTACTTCACTTCCCTTACCCTCATTTAATGAAGTAAAATAGAAGCTGACACATACATGCACCTCTCTTAGGTCCTTAAACGTCCTTTAAAAGAAAAAAAACAGTAGACTGACAGAGCTTGGCAGCAGTCCCCCAGGACCTCATATAAAAAGTGCTGTACAAACAAACATGAACTGTATTAGTGAAACTGCTTTTTTGCTTCAAAGGGACATGAGAACTCTTGACACGCCTGAGGAAGCCTACCTCTTCCTCACAAGGAAGATGGGAAGTTTCTTAACCTAATTATGACAGCCCTCTGCCACAGAAAAGAGGAGCAATCGAGATGAATCTTCTGGAACACACAATGTAGTGCAGCAGCACGAGCTGTCCCTCAGCAGTTCATTCACCTCTCCACTTACCTTTCCTTGGATCTATTAACAGCACCATTCTGAAATATGGCTTTTAGCTTTTAAGCTGTAAGAACCAAGATCCACAAATATCTCCACAACCTCTCCGTAGTTGTGCAGAATACAATTATTCTCATCTTGAATGGAGAACAAAATGGTTGCCTTCAGAAAAATCTTATGTGACACGAAACTTTCCAGCTGATTACTTCCTGGAATTCCAGGGAAATGCAATAACGTTCCAAAACAGTGGATTAACTCTGGAAGATCACATAAATCTTGTGAAAGAATTAGTATATTCCTTCAATAACAACATCTGCACCATTTTCAAACTAATCAGTGAAGAAAGAAACCACGCTGAAGAGACTCTGTATAGCTGTAAAGTCATTTACTTACTTATTTCTCTGTCTCAGCTGCAGTACTTCTTGTTTTATTTAGAATTTATTTTTACCTTAATGGCCAAAATCATTAAAAAAAAGAGAAAATACATTTCACAATGGCAAAATTTTAAATTCTGAGTTTACTATTAGTACAAATACAAGTCTAACAATTGTTAGGAAACACCTGTGTTGTTGCTCTTTTTTCCCCACTTTGCTGCATGATACAGCCCCAAATTATTTGTCTGTGAAGGAACAAAACAGTTCATTCCAATAAAGCTAAAAAACATGTAAATTTTGGCCCCAGGTCCTCAAGAAACTGTGAATGCAGGAAATCACATGCTGGGTCAGTGCAAAATACTTACAGACAATAAAAAAGGAAAAAAAAAAATTAAACCAACAAACCATTCTAGAAAACACGGACAAGATGTCACCAAAAATTCATCATTTCTGAAAGAATTCACATCTGTAAGATATAAAGCTGCTCTGTCAAAGCATAGCAAGTCAGTGCTGACAAACTGTGTATTCATTCGTGGAAAGGTGGCTTCCTACGGTAGAAGCATGACATCTGGCGGCTGCTTGGAGAGAAGCCATCTATTTGTTCACACTTCATTCTGCCTCTGTAAGATCTGGAAGGGCTACCTGCCTCCCACCTTTAAACTTCAAACAGATGTGACAGTGCTTATGGTGGTGCCGACGCTTAAGTTCTCATATTTGTATTGAACAAAGACGCACAAATATCAAGTGCCTTTCAGTGCTTTCCTTTCATTACCTGAACTTAAACAAAAACTTTAAGAAAATCTATGTTTTTATGATATATAATTCACACACAAACTTGTCTATACATTTGGTATCAGAAATAAAAAATCAATTTTAATGTATTTATGCTATATTGTTTTAATGCAATCTATTAAATGCCATGTTCTTGAGTAATCTGCTGTAACTGGGATACAGGTCTTAGAAAAGCTGTCTCTCAAAAGAAGACCATTTTATATAGCACTACATTACACAAATCTTTTAAAAAGTCACAGACTCCAGAAATAGAAAATCACCCTAATCTCCCAGAACAGAAATACTACAAAGGATACAACAGAATTTTAACATTTTTCCACTAACAGTGCTATCCTCATTCTGGAACTAAGACAATCTATCCAAACTTCTCTAGTCAGTAAATAATCTGCGATAAAACCAAAATGCTTTATTACAGGTATAGCATTATTTTTCTTAGGTTGTAAGCGCTGTCCCTCTAATAATACATCAGAAATAATACAACGTAGCAACTATGATTTTGTTTCTCTTTCCTCATACCCTTGCCATTTCTCAGTTTGTGTACTGGAGAAATGACCAAAAGGATTCTTCTTAAAACCTTCTCTTCTGATTGGTAAGACCATCTAATTATAACCCATGATCCCAGAAGCGTACGCTTCGTTTTCACTTTTGACTACAAAAATTGCATTTTTGAAAAGAACAAGGAATCAAAAACTGCATTATGTAGGAATTACGATACCTGATTTTAAAACTGTAGTGTGTGCATATCAGAGTTACATTGAAATGTTATAGTTATAAATATTTTTAGACTCTAAGTACACTAGGTTCTAGAGAAAGCGACATAGATAATCAACGTTGTCCCATTTGAAGCAAAAAATAAATAAAAGTTTAAGTGTTAAAACTAAGAAAAATATTTCTGTATATTGTACAGTACCTTTTGGTTAAAGCTTCTTAGAAAAAATATAAGCATTCCAGTTACAGATAGTTCAGTATTAAAATTGCAAAGTTGCCATCATGGAAAAAAAAAATATTGCATTTTTCCATAGTTGCAGCAGAAACTGTCTCTCCGTGAACAAGGCTTCAGTCTTTAAAAATATATTGATAGTACATAGGAATTCAAATGAAACATTTAAAAAAATACAGTACTGAGGATGTTCGGTTGTTGTGCATTAAGGATTTTAAATTCCTTCTCATTCCAAAAACGAGAACTAGAGAGCCCATTGTATATCACTGAGTTCAGCTGGATCCCCAAGTCCTCCATCGGCCTCCAAGTAATTCATAAGAGCAGTCATGGCAGTGTCATCATTTTCACATATTGCAAAGTCCAGCTGAGAATTACCACCTAAAAATTATTGAAACATTTATGTTTGCGGTACAAAGCACGAATAATATGGCAACTCTCTCAACAGATTTGTTTTTAAACAGCATCTTTCTCTGAAGTTCAGGCAAACGTGTACAGTAAATGCTCAAAAAAAAAAAAAAAAAAAAAAAAGAAGTAATGGCTGTATGCAGACAGTCAAAGACTAGCTACTGAAACTCTTTATCCATGCAGTGAAGTTCATGCCACGGAAGCAGAAAGGTGCTTCCTACTATGTTGCCTTGCCTACCTTGAGTGAATGCTCTTTCAAATCCTTACTTGAAGATCATACCTCAACTGGAGGAGAGCTATAAGACAAGGGGATCTCTATTAAGAGTCCCCTCATCTTAAGACAGATTCTGAACTCTCTTGAAATTTTATAATTTCTACATGGTTGTATACTAGTGCACTGAAAAATACAGAACTATTATAAATGTCTTCTCCTACAGCCAAAGAGAAGTAAATCTTACCAAGGAGGGGCTCATTACTGGGAAACGGAATAGCACCTTGGTTTTGTTCTGAAGTCTCCAGAACTTCTGCTTCTGAAGGACATAACTGAATCAACTCTTTATTCGGCACCTGAAAGAACAGAAGTAGTAGAATTAAATACTAAATTTAACCATAATTATTACATTACTGAAGCAGTAGTTACATATTATTAAAATTAAAATACCATTATTAAATAATGTAAATAGCTGCCAAAGCGTAAAAAACTAAGTAAGAGTTAATAAAAGATATGCATCAAGGCAGACCCATTGCATATTAAAATCTTTTATTTCTTTATTTTTTTATTTAATTTTTTATTATCATTGTGTTTTTTTGTTTGTTTGTTTTTGTTTTTTAAACTAGAGTACACACTACCTTGGCCTTTGCTTAACAAAAGGTGATACTTACATATCTCTCAAAGGTACTTCACAGTTTTGGCATCTGCCCTATTGTGTGCTTAACTGAACAATCAGTAAATAAATCCAGCACAACAAGATGCTCTAGCATACAATTTCCGTGTCTAGAACCGTAAACTACAAATTCCCAGTGACATCAATCTATGTCAATATTGACACGTTCCTGCTTAAAGATAAAAACCCGCATACCTTCTATATGTTATATGCACCATGCTATATGAATCATGAACTTGAGTATTTTCTATTATTAATTTGCATCTTGTTACCATAGGGATGGTGGAAGTCATCCAAACACAAATATACCAGCAAAAAATATATCTTTCCTTTTTTTTCACATAGGACATGTATAAAATTTAGCAGAACAGATCTCTTGGGTTGCCTGTCTTGTGTATAGCCCTTTAGGAAATTATAATTAAGTTGAAATGCTTTACCAAAGCATTTTAAAACAAACAGCACAGAACAAAAGAACATCTGCAATGAATACAACTAAGTTATCCTTCTGATGTGATGCTGCATGCCAGAAAAAGTTCAGTACATGTATGTCAACTAACTCTTAGGAAGACAGACCTGAAGTAGGGAAGGGGTAAACAGAGCATCATAAAAAAAAAAAAAAAGAGAAAGCCAAAACAATCCCTTGTACAGAACAGTATTGTTATGCACTGAAAGAGCAATGGAAGGATAGACTGGCTTTAAATGGAAAGAAATTTACATTCAAAGAAGTGTAGATGTTTGTTCATATAGTGCAGCATATACTAACAATGATACACAATACACTTAGGTAAATAAATATTTCATTCATAGCTTTAGCCAGTAACTCTAATAGATTAACAGAACAATGGACTCTATCTATTTTTTCAGAAGACCACTGAAGTACCTTCTAAGTAAAATTTTTAAACATTCGAGAACTAGGAACACAGCATGCACCTTTAAAGGGGTCTTCAGGGACACAAAGATTAAAGTAGAGAAAAAATGTTTGAGAAAAAGCAAGAACTGCTGTTTAACTTGGGCTGTCAATCTGAACTCAAGCAGGTAAGAAACACTTTTACTCTTTGATGACCACTTATCTTGCCTTATCTTTTAAGGCAATACAAAGTTCAGAAGAGTCCTTATTATGTGAATCACATTCATCAAATTAAACATGCCATATAGTTTCAGCAAAGATCCTAGTAACTGAATAGTGACTGCAGTCCTCTTAGCTTCAGAAAATGGCCCTTTGACGCTTGAAGTGATGTCCCAGTAACTAAGGTTGGCATTTCTGCTGCTTTCATGGGTCTTACAATATAAATTTTAATAGCTGCCATGAAACTGGCAATACCTAACACATTCTCTCACAAAAACATGCCAGAGTAACTGGCCTAAACATGGGCTTTTTTGACAGTAACCTCTCATTTTTTCACAGACGGTGATATACTCACATTGCTGCAGTTTACGGTTAAAGCTGGAGACGGTGACTTTCTCAAGAGATGTGATGGACTTAACTCCCCAGGTGGTGAAGAATGTAACCTAAAATTATATGTACATGATTTACCAATTTACCAAGTCACACTGATCATGAAATGAAAAACAGCCTGCTGCAGAACCTGCCAGATCTGTCCTCGCCAGTGATGAAATATGAGCCAGCTAAACCAAGACGTTGTTCTAAATTCTCCTGAAGACTTTAAATTCTCTTGCTCTAGTTTCGATAAAGCAAAAAGCACAAGAGATGATTAAAGTCCACTGGTCTTAATTGAGCATGCTTCTCTTTTTTCTTCAGTCATCAACACTGACAGACCAGAGAGTATTCATTTACACATACTGGAATAAATAAGTATTTTTTAAATACTCAAATATAGACAACGTAAGCAAGTTCTGCTAAATGGTGCAGGGAAAACTAACAACACATCCTCTCATCCTCCCTTACCAAACATGCCAGACATGAATATAACATTGGAAATGTTGTACCAGGGCCTTTTGGGTCTTTGTTCCCTCTCCACCTGCTCTTCCTGACTCCCAAGGGACAAGGCTATAGAAGTGCAGCACTCTGAATGCTCCAATTTACATCACATCCTCAGTGGTAAAGGAAGAAAGGTGGGAAACGAGTGAATAAACAGCCTACCTAAAGTAAGTGTAGCTGCTTGAGCAGAATATTTATTAGACCCCTGCATTCCAAAATCCAGTGCAATTTGGTAAGCTGCACTGATGTCTCTAAATCCAGACTGAATAACTTTTAGTATTGCTGTGACTAAAGCGTCCTCAGATGCTAAACCAATTCAAATATGCTCATAAATAGAGGTGTAGATATAGCTCTGATGTTCTTATTAACTTGGTCATGCTTAATGCACAGTTCTGAAGTCATCTGTGTCTCATGGACATTAAAAAACGAGAGAGGAAATTCAGGTATTATTAGCATTCTATCGGATTATGTCTGTAGTCACATAATTATTTAATAAAAAAGAGCTGGAGTGAACTTCTTTTGTCTAACTTTGTTCACGTGGTTGAGCATTTTCAAAAGTCAGGGGATCTAAATCAAGAATATCTAATGTTAGAAGCTCTAGAGTAAGCGTCAAGATAAGCTCTATGCTCAGGCCTGGACATTTACCATCAGAGATGAGAACTTCTGCCAATTTATTTTGGTCTTCAAAAAATTTGATAGAACGGCTCTTTGTCTTTAGAAATGGTACTGATGGGAAGACGTTAAGAATGGTATTACTAAAGTGTAATATTTTCTCTTTGATGCCAAAGGTATCAATTGGAATTTTTTGTCAGTACTTTTCCTCCTCCTTTATGGATAATGTCAGCAACCTATCAACACGCTGCAGATGGATTTTTTTTTGTTTTAATAGCAATCCTTTCATCCTGTCACTTCTGATGCAATTATTCCTTCCTTCATTTCATTCAAAAGGAACGGTGCAATTTGGCTGTTCTAGAAAAGGGACATGACTTCACTGCTGGAAAGGGATTCCAAACTACGGGAAACAGAGTCAAAAAAAATCAACCACTGTGACTCATCACATTTTTAAGATCTGGCCATGGTTTTCACTGTTTCAGACAATAAAATATTGTGTTTTGATGAAAAGACAGCTGAGAAGAGAATCACGTTACAAGGAGATAATACGTAATCATGCAATTCAGTGTGCAGAAGAGCCAACTACGCCTAAACAATCTGACAGCCTTTTGCAGTAAGGTGACTAGCTTGGTGGAATAAAGGCATTACTAGTGGAAGATTTGACTTCAGTGAATTTTTAACACTGCCTCCCATAACATTCTCACAGACAAGCTGACAAGTTGGACATCTACTAAAGTCTAAGATGGCTTGGTGTGCTATTTTGCAAACTGTGGCTTATTAAACTATTCCTTACAGCTCTACCACAGTTTGCAAAACCGGTATACTTCTTACTGGGAGTTTTAATATTATTGCAGTCCTTAGGCATGGTTGCAAATGCGCTGCTGGAAAAAATTACATGGGATCTTGGAATACATTGCATTTGAAAATATAAACAACTTCTTCGTTTTTCTTTACCTGGATCTGGGAATAAATGACCTAAAGTCAGAGGGATGGCTTCATTAGCCAAAGCTACCATTTGGATGACTGGTCCTATCTTGATAAGATGATTGTTCTGTTATGCTAGATCTGACCTTGACAAAAGTGGTTAGAACTTCTGATGAAGCCTTGATTCCTGAAAGAGCTGTGCATGTGGATCCCCTGGAATTAGCCAGCTCAAAGACTTTCTAACAATGTTCTTAAATAACAAGTGCTGATATAGTGCAAATTGATATTAAAAACCTCTTTGTCTATAAACAAAACCTGGCACCAAAGTGGATGCAAAATACAAAAGATACAGAATATATTCACATTAAAATTGTGTTTCTTCCTTTGTAATTTATTTGGTACGCTGTGAAACAAGTTAGTTTTAAAAGGCTGAGTCTTTAATTAACAGCTTGAATCTGGCATGAATTTCAATTTAAAATGGTGCAGTCATATTTTTTTAAAACTACAGCTGGCAACAGGGGAGCAATTGAGCTATTACTTTAGTCTGTGTTCAGGACAATCAGGAAGGGACAATACAGGCTATGAAAGCACTTCACTGTTTCAAGGAAATATCTGTTTGCAGAGTGAATCTATCAGAAAAATATAAGCACCACTCACAGGCAAATAAATTTCCATTCCCTAATGTTTTATCTACTCACTTCAATTTCAAACAAAGGAGCCTTACAGTAATACTTCTGAAGATGTAGTTACATAATTCTTCCATTATTGCATCTCTGGAACAAAATTATTTATCAAGACCAGTGATGTATATGGCCATACATGAGATCTACGTTAGCTTATAATTTGTATCATACAATGCCACTGCTCAACCAAAACACATTTAATGTATGCAATAAAAATGAAACTTGAACAGTCCCCCTATAAACACATATCCCCCTTCTCCATCTTTACTTAAAACCCTACCTAAAAAAAAAAAAAACCCCTAAAATATGATATTAAGTGTTTATTACCTTTGTAATTCTAATATTTCATTTGCAATTTCAGTTCCTATACTTCCAGCACCAAGAACTGTTCCAGAGGACATTCCAGGTACACTCACTAAAGACTGTTTTACAGCACCTACAGTTAATAAAATAAAATCTTAAGTTTGTAGCAGTTTCATTATTCAGTGAGGAACAATCACCTTGAGGATTCATTTTAAAGCAGTTTTTGTTCTACTCTCTTACTGTCAGAAATAAAATTCTATAGAACAGCAACCCTATAGGAATCGCTATCTTATTTGAAATACAAAGATAAGTGAATAAAATTAATTTGAAAACTGATGATCTTCAGCAATGTAATTACTAGCTTTAATCATTATCACCTCTATACTCAGACAATTCAAAAAGAATGAGGAAAAAAATACTGGATTTTCACAAACATAAAACTTTATAGCAAGATAAAAGAAAACCACATAGATATCAGAACTTATGCACAGCAGAGAATTGTTAACAATATATATCTATATATATCTGCTACCCTTTATTCTGTAGCTAAACTCAGTGCACCTGTATTTCTGCAGAAAACCAGAAAAAGCATGAAGAGACTGTGATAGAAGCATTGCGTCCTATCAAACAAAAACCAAGTCAAGAGTTACTAGAGAAAAAAGATATGCTGCAAGCCTTTCTGATCATAGTTACTTGAATTACATGAATTAGAATGCTGTAACTAAATGGAATCACTTTTAAAATTACCTCATTAGAATTACCTTTAAAATTATTTTCCCTTGTACAATAACTTACCATGAAAAAAAATCCTGGATTGATTAAACCTAAAGTTTCATGGATTGATCAGGAGATACAACTACAATAACTTTAAGAAGCAACACTTGCCTTCTGCAGGCTGGGAACCATAGGAGACCTGTTCTTCAGCAGACTCATTGTGACCTCTAAGATTTAAATGAAAAAGCATCAAACAAACAAACAAATCAGAAACATTTTCAATGGTGAAATCCATTCTATTTCTATATTATTACAGTCAGTGCTTTACAAAGAAGATCTAACATGCTGAATCCAGTAACAAAATGAGATATTCCTTACACATCTCAGTGTTAAATCCTTTCTACTTTTATCTCTGAAGCACTGAATTAAATGCTCATTTACACTCACTCCCAAAATCAATAACTAAGGCCAATATAGTTGTCTATGTCACATGATGAGAGTAAGACTGCCATTTCTACTTATAGGAGGGAGAGCCATTAATCAGAAACAGCTGCTAATAGAACAGATCAGCAGCTACTTTCTGCTAGCAGCTGCTGCCTACCTCCCCTCCTCTAGCTGCAGATGCCTGGATCTCCAGGGCAGGCAAAAGTGGCCTTTGCCTGTTGGCAGCACAGACTGCTTTAACTGCTCTTTGTCTTGTTGGGGAAAAAGGACAAGGGCAAAATAGACAGGTGATGTTGGCTTAAGACTCAAACCAACTACAGCGTGGGTAAAAGGCCCCCAGACCACTTTGTCTGCTGGAAAAAAAAAAAAAATCACCCTCCTCCCCCTCCAAAAACCAAAGTTGTTGAGAAAGATGCTCAGTACCTTTGGAACAATCCAAGTTATCATTCCATTGCAAGGCACAAGGAATAAAATGTAACAAAGTAAGAATGAAACACACACTCCAACAGTTCATTTAATGTCTTGAGGGCAGCTGCCTTGCAATTTGGAGAGCATCTTTTTGTCCTGCCTTACATTTCCTACAATCTATCAATTATGCTTCTCCTTAGTCTAACACACGCAGACTTAAAAGCTCTGAAGGAAAAAAAATAATGCCACTTTTCCATTTATTTGTACTTATTTTCCTAAAAGATAGTTCTTCCTTTAATAAGAAACTCTTTCCTCTAATTTTTCAACTGGTATATTGCACAGTTTTCATAGTTCAATCCATGACCTGAGGCTGAAATAAAAATCAACTGGTGCAAATCAAATGTCAAATGTTCTTCCACGTTGATCAACCTCTTTATGCACTGTTGGTATTTCCTAATCCCGTTCTGCTTCTTAAATAGGTTGTTTTCTATTAATGCTAACTGTAATTAAGACAAAAACTAACATAGGGGATCACATAATGAATTACTTACAATACTACAGTGTTGTTTGATACAATGTACTCCAGTTCTTTGGTCCACGGATTCATGAAACTAAACCACTGACTCTTTAAAGTAATAAAACTTCCATCTTTTGCTCTAAATTTGTAGGAATTTGTAAATACTTTTTCTTTATTCTGCAACACTAGATAAGAAAGAGGAATTACAATCACTATATTCATACTTCCAAGGACAGAGTTGAGCTAAAAAAAAAAAAAAAATAGATCTGTTTTGTGGTACCATAAAAACAAAATGTTTTTGATGACCAGAAGTTCAAACTAAATGCCAGAAAAATGTTCAAGATAAGACCTTTATAAAATTAAACTACTGTTTTAACAGTGCTACTAATCTTAAATGAGACCCCATGTACTAAGTTTCTGCAGACAACTAATAGGGAGACTCTTGATTTGGTGACCTTTCATCAATGGTGTCTTCAATTACTATTCTATTCTAATTCTATTAGGCATGTTTGGTCTTCAGGACTCCTTTATTCTTAAAAAGAAAATTGAAGCACAGAGTTGAAAGAGGCATTATTGCCCAGCAATTAAAGCACTGCACCAAGATCCAAGACAACAGAGGACAAGGATCTTGTCTTGACAAGATCCTTGACAACAGAGAAGGAAACTCCCTGATTTTAAAGCACACTTGATGAAGGCATGTCTTAACATAGACATAGAAAGGGACAATGTTAAGATTGTCTAACTTCATTAATTCCCAGCTTCTGATTTTTTGATGTGCACTGTTTTCACACAGCAATTACATGTAGTTGTACATAGCCTGGGAGAACCAATCATTTTATACCTTCTTTATGTTTTTCAGCTAGATGATTGTGATCATCTTGATGGCAGTACTCGTAACAAGAAGTTCCTAGAAGCTCTTGTGGCAGATACCCTAAAATTGCTGTTGCACTGTTAGAAATAAAAAAAATGAACTGCGGTGGATTCAAACAATTGTAATGCTTGCTTTCTCAAGTATCAGATAAGGCACAAAATGAATATCTAAAGAAATAGATGCTTACGTTTGTGTCTGATAAAATGGTATTAGCATAGCTCTAAAACAATAGCATATATCAACTGCAGTTTACCTTGGATCTGTTTGCAATGAATAATACAGGAGAACAAGATTGTGTAAGAGTATCAATTCAAAGACAAAATAACAGTGTTTAAATATGCAAACCATTTGTATGCACAATTTAAATGGACACAAAGTATATATGACTATCAGCTCTTCCAATTAGGCATTCAAAGTACCAAACCCACACGATGAGTCATTTAAAAAATTAATAGTTAAATTTTGCTCTGCTATATTTAGGAATAAGTTTAAACTAACACTTGTAGATATGAGATGAGATGGCTGAAAGCAATAAAAGTCTTCTGGTGACAATAATGAAATTCAAAATGTGAAGTGGTAACAGACTGTATGACAAACAAAAATCTATATTAGAGAAGTTCAGAAAATAGGAACTTGCCTTACAATTCCAGTGAAATAACTTTGTAACTCATTTAATATAATGTATTTGCTCCAAACATTACAATATAAATAAGCAGTCATTTTCGGTGAAGGGCTTATTACTTCTCTATCAGTGCAACTTACAAACAAATATAACTCATACGTATAGCTATGTCACTCTGTCTTGAAATTTGTTATTATAAATATTTAAGTATATAAGAGTATGTTACAATGCATTTTCATCTTGGGAGCCTACACTTCCCTAAAGGACAAAGCACTTATTTTGCTACATTATATTTTACGTTTAGCAAACTGAAGTCCAAGGACTCAGATTCATGACAAGGCTCTTCATGTGTACAGCGTCTAGAAATTCTAACCTGCTTAAGAAATTGCAGTCCTTTCTGACAGAAAAGTTTACAAAACCTAACCAAGCCATGCCATTTTCTTTCTGTTAAAGAAGAAAACTCTTACCGCTGATCTACATAGACAAATTTTCCATCCATGGCAAATCGTGTAACAAATTCTGTCGCTTTGACTTTTATCTCTCCACTCTTTTGTGGAACGATGTAAGGGTGTAACCTCCCAATTGCAACAAGACAGTTAAAGTTACTACTGTTCTTTTCTACATCATTTTCCTCTTCTACTCCCACCTCACTAGGAGGCCAGTTCTTCATATACCCAGTACAGTGAATGGTACAATACTTCCTGTGATCTATTAAAAAGAAAGAAATTAAGCAGCTATGGTTCAAAATATAATTTTTAAAAGTCTTTCACCATAAGACCAACAATCATATTTTATGCATTCTTACAACAACTGTAGAAGGCTATGGATAATGTTACAGTGTGTTCTTAAGTCAATTTTTTACTACTTAATTTTGGCTGTATATTTTTACCTGAATAGAGTGCTTCTAACCCTATGCAAGATTTAAGAAGATAAAGTATAGGAGTTGACAGTGCAGTATCACAGAAAAAAAAACAATAACAAAACAACAGCATAGTAACCCACTGTTTCTCCTTCACATTTTTTTATGTGCCATACATCAAAATAAACTAAATAAGCATTCTGTAGCTTCCAAACTAATTTATCTTATGCAAATACTATGGTTTTAACATTTTTACTGCCATTACTAAAACAATCAACAAAGAGAGCAAACCAAAATAACTGAGACTACTTTGTATTTATCTCAGACTTCTGAAGTCCTCAATTTTTACAAAAACACAAATACTAAAGATATTTAAGTGAAGCATACACTATCATTCATTTCTGTGACTGGTAGAAACTTTTTGACTTCTACAATATCCCAATAACCTCAACATCCACAGAGATGTATCCTATAAACCCTATCTTCCCCCAAGCTTGGCGAAGTAATCTTAACATTTTACCAAATTATGACTTACACAGATTTGACTGCATTAACTGCTAGCTATGGAAAACATCAATCAACTTTGTAAAATGAAAAATTGAGTAATCCTACTGTGACTGCCAGTTTTCCAAATTTTTAATGTGATCTCTCTGAAAACTGCTTGCCTGAAAGCATGTTTCTAAGAGCTAAATTCTTATCTCACCCAGTTAGCTGACACATCAAGAGAGATAGAATTCCTCTGACTTACAACAACAGATCCATTTTAGAATGTATTCTTGTATGTCATATCTCAACAGCAGCAGGTTACATTGAAATAAAAGAAATAGGAAGATTCCTTCAAGATCCATAACAATTTCTGCAGGGTTTTTTTTTTTTTTTTTTTTCCCTCCAAAAATCAATGCCAAGATATTAACCAAAAGCTGGAAATTACATTTGTAAAAAGATTCATTCACTGAAAACTTGACAAGAACATACTGCTCTACAGGCATACCAAACTAAATTAAAACTATGAACTAAATTAAAGATATTGGAAAAAACACTGGAATTACACTGATAAATTAACTTTACTGTTAAAAAAATAATTTGTAAGTACACACAATACAAAATATAAATCAGATAAAGTTTTTACTTGCTTTTTTTCCTCCAAAACAGCAGATTTTGCAGGCCTTATTCATATAGTTATCTTCAAGACAAATGTTATTTAGTTTAACTCTTCTGATCTGCTCCAGTGCTTTCAAAAATTTGACTAGAACAGATCGTGCCTCCTAAACCAACAATGCAACCCAGGTTCCTTCCTCCCTTCCTCTTCTCAGGAGTGAACAGGGAGGAGAAAGAGGACAATTAGACTGTTTTTCAGAACAGGTCTGTAGTACACACTTCTCTACAGCTACTATGTGAAATCAGTGAAATTAGAAAGGTCACACTACTGGCTTGGAACATAAATATACTGAATTTCAAGACTGAAAGCCCCCATTTCAGCTACACTGTTTGAATACCTTTCTTCTTTGGGTTGGGTAAGCACTCCTTTTCTTCTTTGACTGTGGTCCTACTACATTTTATCCGACAGAAGAAGGAACGTCGAGCACCAGAATTCAGTCGAGCTGGTCCAGCTTGAAAATCTGTATGTACTTGCAAGCCAGCTTACAAAAATTTAGTAAAGTAGTTAAAGAAAACAAAAAAATCCAAGAATAAAACTGCTGAGTCCAAGGCTCCAGTTTCTCATATGTTCTCCTTACTGTTCAGTTACCTAAATTTTGTCCTTACAATTACAAAAGAAAAAATGTCTAATAACTTTAAACAAGGCAAAGAAAACGTGGCTGCCACACAGATTCCAAATTTTGAAAGAACTACAAAACTGAATTTAAGCTATACTTAACATTTTGAATCATACTGTAATAAATACACTTTACCAACTTTCAACTCCTGTTTGTACACAGAGGAAGTGCAAAGATGCCTATAAAAGCCAGCTATACAATAGTTATTAGCTGCAGAGTACATAATGCTTTTCATATCAGAAATAACTGTAAATAGATTTGGTTAAATTAGAATCGACACTTAGCATTTTCAGAGAAGACAGTGATTCTTGATACTGTAGTATTTTATTCCATGCTCGACTACATCAGGTCTTTTGTATTGACAAGACCTATCAAATACAAGAAAAAAAAGTAGTATGCCTGGTAGGAAGAATGTCAGACTACAACTTGGTAAATGTTCAACAATGCTAAATTCAATCACTCTTATTACCTAGAATAAGTTCTTTTCTGTGCTAATTTTTAAACTGCAAGTGAATTATAAGCAGCAGATGAGCACTGAAACATGTTTTTTCATAGAAATTATATTTCAAGGTTGTATACCCATGCACACAATTATTTTTTACATAAGAACTGACTTCATTAACATCTTTTTAAAAAGAAAAAAGAAATCTGAGTGCGTTCAAATACGACTTACTTTTGCCATCTACAAGCTTTTCTCTGGGAGAGATATCTGAAGATGAAAGCTGTTCCTTAACCTTGGCAACATCTTTTGGATGCAAGTAATCAAACAAACTTTGTCCAATTAAACTGGCCTATTAAAAAAACAAAAAAGAACCTCACTGTTTTACAACAGGACACTACATATTACAGACCTCAGAAAAACAACATTCTGCACTACTGGAAAAAAAACAACAATACCTTGTAAAACACCACAGTTATTCTAAACTTTTATAGATCAATCCGCATTTATTTTTTCATTATTTATTATTATTTTTATCAAGCTGGGTAGCCAAATATATAATCTGTAGCTTCCTTTTGAAAAAAAAAATACTCAATTTAGTTGCATATTCAAAAAGATTGAGTGTTGTTAAAACAGAATGTTTTTTGTTTGTTTACTTAACACGATTCCCGATCCTTTAGAAAGGTTATGTGCACAGATTATTTTGGGAGTGGGGGGACAAGGGAAGGAATAGGAAGAAATTAATGGTACCTATGACTGAACTCTCATTTAGTAGGACAAAAGAGCATTGCTAATCAGGAGTTGTCTGGAAGGTGCACAGAGCTTTCACCTCTGCGCTTCTTAGTTGAAGATATTTACAGGGATCTCCTTAGCTGGGATCCTTTCAACCTGCTGATTCTGCTGATCCAGAGCTGGTCTGTTGCACTACTGTAAGCACTACTGTAAGCACCACTACCATCTTTTGAAACCGGAACGAACTCTCAAACAAGTTGGCAACCTTTTTTTTCTTTTCTTTTCGATTCCCTACCTTCTACACAGCAGGTCAAATCAAAGGGTAGAAAGGAGCTGTGTTAATGATCAGTATTGTAGATTGAAACCGCAACTCATTTTGGACTCTTGGTGCATGAAAGGGGAACAAACACCTCTCCAATAAACTAGAGTCAGAAATGGACATACTGCAAAGCTTCTAAGAAAGCAGGATAAACATTCAACCTCTTTCATTTACCCAGTCTGTATCTAAGCCTAATGCAAAGGTTGCCCTTCTCTGGACACACTACAGGGCCTCAATGTCTTTCTTGTAGTGAGGGGCCCAAAAGTGAACACAGTACTCGAGGTCCGGCCTCACTAGAGCTGAGTATGGGGGATGATTCACCTCCCTGCTCCTGCTGGCTATACTAGTTATGATATAGGCCAGGATGCCATTGGCTTTCTTGGCCACCTGGGCACACTGCTTTATAACCGATTTTCCTCAGGCTTAAAAAAAAAGGAAAAGAAAAGAAAAGAAAATCACCATTTAAAGGAAATCTCTCAGGGATAAAATTAGGACATTTCCAAATTATCCTTTTCCCTCAGAGTAGCAACTCTACAGTATGATCAACTGAAACCCAGTTATTACTCATGTCATGAGCACTGATTGCACTTTGAAATTTTTATTCTGGGAAATTTAGCCTTAATTTGAAAGAGGTCAAACCAAGGATATTCTAAGAAGTTACAGAAAAGGATAAAATAAACCAACAAAATTTAAAAATTTCTAAGTAAGACAAATTCTAAGATAAACACAAACTAAGAAACTCAATTATAACCACCTGATCATAATTAAGTATTTTGCAAACTGATTCTGAGACAAACAGAATTTTTCCTCTGTTACATCCAACCACAAACAGGAATCCATCCGCAGCCTGAAAATATAAAGACAGCATCTTTAAAAACTTACCATTAAAATATACAATCAATATTGATGGATAGAAGGAAGTACATTTGTATGCTTTTTATTAAATAAATTAAAAGTCACAGCAAAAAGCAATTTAAAAGATTGCAAGGACCAAATCAGACCTTTAAATACAGACAGCTAGAGTTTCCTAAACATAGCTTTGGGAAAAAGAAAGCCAGCTGCAAAACAGCTTAACATGGAGTCATCTTACAAATCTTGCCAAGTTGTGTTATTGCAGCAAAAGAAAAAGAAAATAGCTGCAAAAGAGAAAGGGTAAAGAGGTGTGGGCGTATGACTGCATGCAAAAGCAGGAAGAAAGATTTTCTTTCAGGTACTATTTCTGCATCTTTTCCAAATTACATTGCTAAGATTTTAAACAAAGCACAGCAAACAACTGTATTTATAATAACTAAGATTATTATATATGCTTGCATGCAGATTTCAATATCAATATTAAAAAAAATGTTTCAAGTATTAAATATGCAGAGTGTACACAGATTTATTATCCCCCCAAGTGTTGCCATCTGCTATCATCTTCTGTATCTCTTCATGAAAAATCCTGTTTCCTGTACAGAGGTTATAAATCCTAACGACTAAGCGCATCAAAGCGCTTCCCTGAAGAAAAAGATGTAAGGGAGGCGGGGGTGGGAAGTTCTCACAAACTAAAAACTGAAGTTAACAGCAAGCTTTAAAGAGGACATAATTTCACCGACAGTTGCCTTCTACTTACCCTAAGGATTAACTGTCTGAGCTCATCATCCTTTAAAAACGAAGGTTTATACCGGACTTCGGTGTAAGAGCTAGTGGAACCTGGAAAATAGCTTATTTGTAGACATACGTAGAATGTCAAAAGATACATTAAAAATTCATCTTTAACAAAATTATATTTCTTATTTGGTCTTTATTTTGTAAATTCTCCTTGCAGTAAGAACAGATGAATAAAAGTTTAGAAGATATTTTGTTTTTAAAAGAACCAGCCAAACCTCTTAAACATATGTGGATATTGAGTTTGGACATACCACCAGATTTTTTCCATGCCTTTTACTTAGCACAAAACAAGGAAACTTTGGATCAGATATCTTTAGTATACTGCTAGATAAATGCATTACTTAGAAACACTTTGTACACCTGCTCCAGAATCCTTAACATTTGCTGAATGTGAATAATTCCTATGTTATCAGTTGTCTTACAGCATGAATAAAGCTTCATTAACACTCTAACGTAGTCAGCCATCCAAACAAATCACTCTAGGTAGTTAAATTTAAAAGATACTGTACATTTCACTCACTACATTTACTGTCCTAGCATCTGTGGCAAATACCCTAAAATCCTTCTTAGCCATTTTAAGTATTTACACAATTTTTTCTAGATATTTTTTGGTGAGCATTTGCTATAATTCCACACATTATCTTGTATGATCTTAAAGCATTTGTTTTGAAGATACATATAAAAACTCTACTTCATCCAGTGCTGTTGTTATAACCCATTGTTAAAATAATGCTGTTGAAGCTGAAGATTTCTGTTTTCATTGTCAAGATGAAGACAACTGTTTAAACTCCAAGTGCAAGGATTATTCTGCTAATTTGTGATATTATTTATGCAAAATTCTCAGCTACTTGGAAAAGAAGACTTCCAGAAATTCACAGAATCCTTAGAGTTGGAAGGGACTTTTAAAAGCCATCTAGTCCAACTCCCCTACAATGAATGGGGACATCCACACTAGATCAGGTTGTTTAGAGTGCCATCCAGCCTGATCTTGAGCGTCTCCAAGGACAGGGCATCCACCACCTCTCTGGGCAACCTGCTCCAGTGCCTCACTTTTTCCTTATATCCAACCAGAATCTCCCTTTTTAGTCTAAAATGATCCTGCTAAAGAGTCTGTGATGACTGAGAAATCCCTCCAACCCAAATTATTCCAAGTCAATTACTGTTAAGATAGTCACATAATTCATGAAGACAAGGGGGATTCTTATTAGATGTTCATCCATAATCAAATTTTTTTGCAAGGCATAGTCTTCGCTTACAGCTCACTAAATTATTCTAAAATGCTATTGCCAAAAACCCTGGAATCTTATGTGTAACTTGTATATAATGTTTCTTAGGAGAGAAAGAAAACCCTCAAAGCTATTAATAACAGTAAAAGGAGATGAAGGAATATATCTTAAGCTAGACACTGGTATCTACACTAAATTGTTCACTGAAATCTGTGAGTGCTTTGTAAGGTGGCTGAGAATATAAGCATTTAATAACATTTTTTCTTTTCACTCTTTAACATTTCGAAGTATTTAAGACTCAAATGTAATTGCAGTCATCAACTATTCTTTCAAAGTATGAAGACATTCCTTTTGACCACTGACAAATTTTATCTTTTTAATCTTTTTCTTTAGTTTCATGCCTTTTTTCATTTGTTTCATGAAAGTACATTGGTAAACTAATCTATAAAAGATGTAAGATCACTGAAGCTCTAACCTATGCCCCCTACCAGCAAATCTACTTAGATAAGTAGTTAGTGATTAGGTAAGCGTTAGCATAGTTTCCCATTGTTTAGAAGACTTTTTTTCTGAACTCGCACTAGACAAAAAACATCAGAAATATGAAACACTTTACAAGTTACCTGGCCTTCAAATCCATGCCTTTACAGAATTTTGTTGGTTTTTTTTTTTTAAAGGTCTTTTTCAGTGATGTGCATTTTAAACTCAACTGACAAACAAGAAATTTCAATACAGAGACAAAAGGCTGATGCAATCCCCAAAACTGCAGTAACAAACAGGGGTACGAAGAACATTTTCTTCTCACTAGCAGTTCAGCTAGTGATGTCAGTACAGCACCACATGTATTACTGTCGCAAAAAGTATGAAGTGGAGAGATCACAAAACATTTGCGGGTTAGAAAATAACAGAAGATGGAATTGCTTGACCTCTATGATTTCAAAAAAGAATCAGGATAACTTGATTGCAAGGTATAGCTTTAGCAAACAGAATATCAAACACTTAAGTGTTGTTCAGTACCAGAAAGAAAAGCCAAAACGAAACAAAATTCTAGAAACTACAAGCGTATCAACTTAAAACAGACGCAGAACGGAATTCAGCAAGTAAACATAACAGATGACCTTAGATGTATTTGCCATCAAAGAAAATACGTAGTATAAATCCTGACAGAATAAGGACTTTAAGCATTAGTTTCCTATGACCTACCTTTTAAAGATTTTAAGTGTTGCACTGCCATCCGTAATACTGTAAGCTTGTCTAGTTTTCGTGCCATAGGATTGCACTGAGGTATCATAGCAGACAATTCCTCTATCAAATTATTCATTTTGTCTCTTCTTCGTTTCTCTGTTTGACTGTGAGCCTCTCTAAGAAGAAAAGTTTTTTTTAAGAAAGATGTGGAATACACAATTTCCTCTATAATATTCATCAGTTTGATTTTGGAAACATAATGCACCACAAGAACTATTTCTACATTTAAATGATTTTTCATACACAACCTCTATTTGACAACTGAATTGGATTCATTTGATCAAAGTAGCAATGATCACAATACCTACATGAAATACTGCGAAACTCTGTTAAGTAACAACTTAAGAGTCATAGAATCATACTTCACAGCAATTGATCATTTGTGGCAGAAACAAGACACCATGAAAAGTTACAAAACTGAAAAACTCTTAATATCTAACCTAAACCTCTCCTGTCTCAGTTTAAAATCATTCCCCCTTGTCCTATCACTATCTGCCCTCATAAACAGTCATGTCCTCACTTGTTTATATGCTCCCACATAAGAGGTCTCTCCAGGGCCTTCCTTCTCCTTGCTAATTAAGCCCAGTTCCCTCAACTTTTCTTCACGGGAGAGGTGTTCTAGACCTCTGATCATCTTAGTGCCCTTCTCTGGATGTGTTCCAAGAGGTTGGCATCTTTCCTGTACTGGGGGCTCCAGGCTTTCTATATATCAGATATTTGACGTCAACAGTAATCATCAGAATACATTATTCTCTGTGTAAGTAAGATGGGGTATTCATCCAACTATTTTTTTTATTTTTTTTTTAAGTTGCTTTAAGCACTTGCTGAAGTATCTCTGAACTCAATAATCTGAGATAAGCGATGTCTTCTTGCTATTTAATTAGTTTGAAAATGACTCACATTGAATAAAGTCACAAACACAAGCATTTATTTATAGCAAAGCGCAACAGACAACACATTTTTCATGCTGTGGAAACTGAAAGAAAAGGCTATACCTCACTGTACAATCAATGGATATCAAGATGTTACAGTCACAATACAATCAAGAGAGTTAGGCAAAGTGCACAATGGTAACAAAAGAGAATAAATGGAAAGCTTACCCATATGCTGGGCTCACCTACAAAACACCAGAAGAGGCGATCTCCAGAAGAGATCCTTCCCCACTGGCAGCCAGCTCTTCAATAGGTCCAGGAGGGGTGCAGCCAGGTTCCACCCCTTCCAGCAGCACAGGTGAATTGCCTTCAGCTGTGCTCCTCTGGCTGACTCATGGCTCACCTCAGGTGATCAATCAGAGGTTCAGGCCCTGACTCAGCAGTTCCCATACACTCACCTATTTTCACTGGAGGTACATCAGAAGGCTTTCCCCTTTATCCACCTCTGAAGGTGGGCAAGAAAAGGGTTTAGCCTCTGCTCGTACTCCGTCTCAGACTTTCATCTCTTGGCAAGCCTCAATCCAAGAATTCAAGAACAGAGAAAGAGCTTCTCTTAAAAAATGTTTTCATCATAATATTTCTTCCAGGGCACACAACAGTACATTTCACAAACATTTATAACTCAGGTTATATTTTCTTTAATTCTTCCTAGGAATTTTCTTTAACTCTTTCTAGTGAAGTATGTGGGCTTTTCTAGTTGACCTTTCTTTCCTCTAACATCCTGCAGCTGGTCAAGGAAGGTTTAAATTCATTCTATTTCCAGCCTAGCCAAGAAGACAAGCTAGCCACTCAATTAAAATGAGGATTATTCTCCTTTCTCACCGAGACCTGGCACGGTGGTAGTAAATCAAACTGATCAAACTGACAACCTGTTTTGGCTAACTGATCTTCAAAACTCTTCTTTTCAGACATACTGTAACAGAAAGCATTATAGGTAATGAAGTTAACTAATCCTGGCCTGATGGAAAGAATTAAAAGAATTTTAGAGATCTTGTCTTCTATTATTTTTTAAATTTTTCTTTGAAAGCACAAAAAAGAAATCCCCCTTCTATGCAAATAAGTTTGGATCACTCACAGAAGCAATTTGCTTTTCTCCCTAAAGCTCTTACAAAATTTACCAGTTGGCACTTGACTTTACCGGTTCATACAAATTTTCTTTTGTATCAGGTAGGAACAGTCAAAAAACAAATTGTGGATGCTCCTTGAACTGTGAACCTCAGGAAAATGACTACAAACACATGTGGAAACAGAACAAATATTCACATTTCTAAGATTCAAGAAGAATGTATAGTTGTAGTTATGACTGGATAATTCAGAAAGCCAGCTGTTACACTACACAGTTACAAAAGGGAAGAGGAAAAAACACATCCCCCAACAGACTTGTGAAAAGAAACACTGGACAGAGGTAACTGTTGAGCAAACCTTCAAGATGTGTTCCAACATACACTTTTTTTTTTCCAAACTAATGAAACAAAACTTAAGGAAAAGAAATTAACGGTAGAACATGAGTGTTATCAAAGCAATGAGAAACAGATTCTTGCATAGTGATCTGGGGTACTCATTAAACAAAAATGAAATTTTCAGTTCAATAAAAAAATTGTAAATGTTTCAGAACACTTCCATTTCTTCCATTTAATTTAAATTATAACAACACTTCATAATTATTAGTTAGCATATTGTACAAGTAATGCTTCTGCCAATTTCTGCAAATTTCGATTTAGATTAAGATGTGAATTCACAGTACAACTGCAATCCTTGAATAGTTCCATATACAAGCACTTGCTCCAGAACAAGAATTCTTTGCTTGCTTTTGCTGAATCCACTTCCATGTGGGATAATTCTTAAATAACCCCATGTGCACACAAATCAAGAAGAAACAATTCTTCAAGTCATACGGACTGAGAGGCAGCTCCTTCATGCATGACTTGGAAGTATTTCATTTGATTCTCACCTTGACATTTTTAATCTCAGATTTTTCCTAAATGAGAGAGATTCTGTGGTATAACTTCGATTAAAATTAGTAGAAAATGAGAACCCCAAGGAAGCTCTAAGAATTAACACAAAGTCAGAAGAAAGAAAGGCAAAGTTTATTGTTAGACATTTGACAGTAACCAACAAATTGCTATGGTTAATCCTGCTGTTGTCAATCCTAGTATTTACTGGCAAAATATATTTATCTTGGGAATTAGTACCTGAAATCTTTTATCTTAAGATGCTCTTCATCTTCATTCCTAGAGAAAGCAAGACATAGACTCTTATATTGCACATTTAATATTAGGCATTTCGAGACGTAGGAAATTCTACAAATTTGCTATCATTTCAACAAAACCAAAACCACAAAAATTCCTAATACAAAAATTATCTGCCCTCTATAAATGATGCATACTATAAAATACCAAGGCATGATTTCCAATATTAATACTTATGTAAACGCATTATGGGGATATTTAATGATTATGGGTCTACTTCTATCTGAAAGAAAACAACATTCAAAGTTTAGGCGTGATTTTATGTTAATTTTTCAAGTGTGATTCTCTATTCATACTCTTATCTCTAAAATTTTACTGCCAAAAGATTAAAAAACCAACCCTAGGCTAGATAGGTCCTAAAATACAATGCAATTGCTCAAGGACTGAAAAAAAGAAGCAAAACTATTAAGCATCTTCCCATACCACACAGCAATGACTGGAAAGAGTCCATATGAGAAAACTATAAATGAAAGACAATCATAGTGCTAGTATCATGATAAATACTTCAGCAGCACGAAAAAAATAAGTGAATCAAGCAAAGACAATAATATTTTTTCTTCTCCAAGATCACTGGAATCCTCACCACCACCTTTAATAATTTCAGAAAATGGCCTAATAGATGCCTTGCCAACTCAGCACGCGCAACTTGGTACTTGCACAGAGGTTGCTTCCATACTAATGTCGGCAACTATTTTTGTTGAAATAAACTGATATAAGCATTTTTTAATGTTCATAGCAGTACTTAAGTTTTTTTGTTTTTGTTTTTTTTCTTTTTTTTTCTTTTTTAATTCAGCAGTGGAGACATTTCACATAGTTCCATTTCAGAGGTGAGGCCTGCAAGCCTTGGGATCATTTTAGAAGGTGCGTATGTTGTACCAGGCAGCTTATAAGGACACAGGTGTATCAGTCACAGCTGTTTCTTATGAGAAAACAGAAGCAAGAAGCAGAAAGACAGTTGGTGATTAGAGCTTTAGGAAAGAGTTCAAAAGCGGCTTCCACTTATAACCAAGCACTGACCCCAGGAAGAATGAAGCAGCCATAGCCCAATTAACACAAGGCTCATTTCAGCTTTCAGCTTTTTTCAGCTTTTCAACTCAGGATTTTACTAGATCTCACGCATCTTCTAGGCAGCCTGATAAACCCAAATGCAGATTTAGACAAGTCAGTAATACCTTTTTTTTCTTTTGTGTTTACATAAACTTTTACCAGGAATGTGCATATACTACGAACCCTGATAATTAATACCTTTTTTGCCTCAGTCTTTGCTAGCAAGGCCAACTGTTCCCAGGGTACCCAGACCCCCAAGTTGGAAAACAGTAACAGGGAGCAAGGTGAAGTGCCTACAATCCTCTAGGAATCTGCAGGTGACCTACTACATCATTAGAACATTTATAACTCTATTGGGCTGGATGGGTTTATCCACAGATACTGACAGAGCTGGCAGAGGTGCTTACCAAGGTACTTTTGACAATTTACCAGCTGTCACAGCTAATTGAGGAGGTCCCAGTTCACTGGAGGTTAGCAAACACTACTCCAATCTGCAAGAAGGGCAGGAAAGAGGATCCAGGGAATTAAGGCCTGTCTGTCTGACCACAGTATCAGGGAAGGGTATAGAGCAGCAGATCACCTTGAACATCATCTCAAAGCATATGTGGAAAATCAAGTGATCAGATACAGCCTGCACAAGTTTTGGAAAGATGGGCCCTATCTGACTAACCTGATCTCCTTGCAGGACAAGATAACCTGCTGAGTAGACAAAGACGACTGCGGATGTTGTTTACCTGGATCTTAGTAAAGCATTTGACGTTGCTTCTCAAGGTATTCCCCATGAAAGAAAGTCTGCTGGTAGTCTGGACAAGTGTACAGTTTGCTGGGTGAAGAGAAGTGGCTGGATGATTGGGCTTAAAGAATCCTAGCAGGCAATGTTCAATCCAACTGGTGGGCCAGTCACCAGTTGTGTTCCCCAGGGCTCAGTACTGGGGCCAGTTTGGTTTAACATGAGGAATGGATAAGAGAACTGGAGCTATTTAATCTGGTCTGAAGAAGAGGAAGCTGAGGGGAGACCTCACTGCTCTCTAAAGAGCATCCTCACCTGATAGATGAAAAACTTAATATGAGCCAGCAGTGTGCTCTTGCAGCTTGGAGGGCAAATGGCATCCTGGGATCCATCAAAACAGGGGTGACCAGCAGGGAGAGGGAGATGATTGGCCCCCTCTACTCTGCTCTTGTGGGGCCCCATCTGGAATACTGCATCCAAGTGCGGAGCCCGCAGTACAAAAAGGACAGGGAGCTGTTAAAGAGGGTCCAGAGGAGAGCCACTAGGATGGTCAGGGGATTGGAGCACCTCTCCTGTGAGGACAGGCTGAGGGAGCTGGGCTTGTTCAGCCTGGAGAAAAGGCTGTGGGGTGATCTCATTGCAGCCTTTCAGTACCTAAAGGGAGCCTACAAACAGGAGGGGAGTCAGCTCTTGGAAAGGGTAGATAATGGCAGGACAAGGGGAAATGGTTTTAAGTTGAGGGAGGGAAGATACAGGTTGGATGTCAGGGGGAAGTTCTTTATTATGAGAGTGGTGAGGTGCTGGAACAGGCTGCCCAGAGGGGCTGTGGATGCCCCGTCCCTGGAGGTGTTCAAGGCCAGGTTGGATGGGGCCCTGGGCAGCCTGGTCTAGTATTAAATGGGGAAGTTGGTGGCCCTGCATGTGGCAGGGGGGTTGGAGATTCATGATCCCTGAGGTCCCTTCCAACCCTGGCCATTCTATGATTTCTGTGAAGGAAGGATGCAATCAGGAGGGTGTCAGTCTCTTTCCCCAGATGCCAAGTGATAAGATGCAAGTTGTGTCAGGGAAAGTTTTGAGTGCATGTGAGGAAGAATTTCTTCATAGAAAGAGTTCATCATACATTGGAACGGCCTGACCAGGGAAGTGGAGTCACCATTCCTGGAGGTATTTAAGAGATATGGGGATGTGGCACTGCTCTCTACAAGTACCCCAAAGGAATGTGTGGCAAGGTGGGAGTTGGCCTCCTTTCCCAGGTAACAGCTATAGGACAAAAGGGAATGGACTCAAGTTGCACTAGGGGAGGGATATTAAGAAAAAATTCTCTAGAAGAATGGTCAGGTGCTCCAGAAAGTAGTTGAGTCACCACCCCGGAGGTGTTTGAGAAACATCTAGATGTGATAGTAAGGAACATGGTTTAGTGGGCAACACTGGTGGTAGGTGAATGGTTAGACTAGATGATCTTAGAGGTCTTTTCCAACCTTGGCAAATCTATGATTCTCAGGAACATGAATTAGTGAAGGAACTCAGCAGGGTGGTTGGATAATCTATATAATAATAGTGGTTAATAATAACCACCCCTAGGTTTAGGGCTATATAATAAATGGTGGCTAATAATGGTGCTTGGACTTGATATACTTGAAGGTCTCTTCCAATCTCAACGACCCAGCACGCTACCTTGTCTGACCAGAAGGGGTGAAGAGATAAAGCGGATCTAGACCACACAAAGTGCAGTGTGGAGCCTCTTGATTACATCTCCTCCTCCCTCAGGACCTTTACTTAGGGAAGGAACTAGAGCAAGTCTGCTGCTCAAGCAATCACAGTCTTCAATGGTTTCATATAGCCTCTGTCCCAACAGCTGTGCTGTTACTGTTTAAAAGAGCTAGATTAAGTCTACCTTGAAAACAGAATGACAGTCTGCTTCATAACTCAAAGGTAGATACATTCAATTTAGCAAGAACAAAAGTTGTATTATTCTGAAAAAGAGTTAAAGAATACCACCTTTTCTTCTACTTTCCCCTTTATTAAACATACATCTATATTTCTTCTAAAAGAAAAGCAGGGATATTAAACACAAAACAGGACTACCTTTGCATCTTTCCATAATAAGAACAATGGAAAAATCCACAAAGAAATGAATGATATTTAGGAAAAGATTTTAATGCTACCCACTAAGCCACACACCAAACACTACCTAGAAAGATAAAAGAGAATAGTGAATAGCTACATACAAATATTTCTCTACATAAGGTAGTGAGGTGCAGAGAAAGAAAGCACAGCAAGATAATCGTGTAATTAATAACTGCCCTATAATATGAACACACACCAAAAACTCGTTTTTTTGTTTTGTTTTCTAAGATTGGTACAGCTAATCTTAACTTTAGCTTGTCACTTTGTAATAATAATATTTTAACATTGCAGTAGTTATGTTTTAAAAAGCAGGTTGACAAGATCGGGGAATAAATGAAAAAAAATGTTTAAATGCATCATTCCTGAAGAGTACGAGACATTCCCTTCACCTCTTCAGTCTTTTCATATGTTATTCTTCTTTCTTTCCTATTCTTATCTTAATTTCAACACAAATAGGTCTGGTAAGCTGGTAAGCAAGTCGTAACATCTTCTCTGAAAGAAACAATAGAAAACTAACACTGGATGGATCTATCCACCCCACTAATTAGATACACGTTAATTAGCTTCACTTTCTGCTCTACAAACGCATCCTTAGACAAACATTCCTTAAGGCGAACCACACACTTTAGCTATCCAAATAGAAGACTGTGACATGCTTACAACACTGAAAATAGAAATGGGTTCATTTATAAAAAGTACCTTTTCTGAGGATCCCCATCAACTTCAACTGTATCCCTGTAGAAACAGGTAATGAAGTAAGCAGAATGTACACTTTGAAGCAGAAAATCATGACACAATATCCCCACTAGAAAAAGTTGTTGCAGAAAAAGTTCAGCGGAAACCCCACTTGACAAGTTATTTTCAGCAAGAACATTCGTTTTTAGAAACTATGAATTCTTATAAACTATATCAACTGAATATTTCAACTGGATGTGATTTTTTTTTTTTAGACAGAAATTTCTCTAAATCAGAGACAGACCCAAACTTCAAGCAAATAGCACTGATGAAGCAGCATTCTCATTAAATAGGTAAAATCAATTGATGCTTCTGAGAAACACTTTTTTTCTAGAAGTTATTGTCCTTCTGAAGTGTTCAGAGATCTAGAAGACAGACTTGAAGCTGTGAGTTGACAATTACATCAACATCTACAGTATGGCTATGTTCTGTGGATCAGTGACTACACACAGAAAAAGATAACTGCTTTAAAAATCACAAATGGATGTAAATTTCTTACACACACACGCACACTTTTTTTTTTTAAAGGTGGATTTTCCACATAGTTTGGAGATGCCTGCCATACAGAATATCTGCATGCTGACTTGCATCCTGATTTCTGGCTGAGAAATATAAATTAGATTTATTAAAATTAATTCTTCCAAATTTACAGGAAAATACGTGTTTGGTTAACTTGCAGTTACAGAGTAAGAGAAAATAGTTGACTGTATTATCTCTACAACAAAGTACGACCTGCTTAAAAAGACTGAGCTCTACTGCAGGAAAGTACTCGTTTTTAGGTCACAGTTCCTTCTGGATATTTAAATGGCTGCCCTGGTCACTGAAGAAGCAGTTCTGATTCTACATAAAAGACTTTAGAGATGAAATTCTAGCACTTCAAGCAATTCAGTCATTTGTTGCAAACAGAACTTGTCTTTACATGCAGGGAAAGAAAAGAGAGGCAGGACTCACATTTTATCATGAGACAAATGCCCCAAAAATTTCGCTTACACCTACATCAGAATCCTACCCCTACCCCTTGGATAGAAGGATTCTTTTTTCTAGTTTCAAGTGCTCCAAAGAGTCAAACAACACATACAGAAGAAAGTAAAATAAATAACTGTAATATATAAAGGAAAGAGGATTCAAAAGTTACATCATAGAAATAATACACAAACAACTCAGATTTTTGTAGAAACAAACAGAAATAATTTGCTTACTGGTTATCAGAATCACTTCCTTTGCGCTTCCTTGGAATCTCAACCACAGAATTGTTGAAAGAAGTGGTAGCAGGCTTAGTTATTGGATTCATGAGGCCGGGGACTCCAGAAGCAATGCACGAGTTTCCATCTACTGGGAAATTATCTGTGAATGAGAAAAAAAATAAGCCCAGTGTACAATAAGAACATCATGCATCCATTCTGGTTTTCATCTGGGAAAAAAAAAAACAAACACCTGCATGGGTGCCTTTCACACCTAAGATACAAAGCCCACAGAAGTTGCACAGCAAATACCTATGTACATAAAAAACACAGTCTTTGAACACTCACATCAAGCTCTCATCAACTCATTCAGCTCACCAAGGCAATATAAAATACACTTCACTTTTTCTTCACTCAGTCCTAGCAGATTCTGCTTAAATCTCCCAGCACCTCCAGAATCCCGCTGTAAAGTCACACGATGTATCCTCAGCTAGCTGATCAAAATACTAACTCTAGATTCAAATTTAAAAATATATAACATGAACTAAGCTTTTTAAAGCAGCTGAACATACAGAAAAAAAATGTGCCATAGTTCTGACATAAATCTATGATTACTCGTAACATCAGCCATGTAAGTCAAGACAGCCTTAAAAACTTGTCAAGTTCTGCCTCAGAGTTCCTTTTGAACTCTTTCTCTCAAGGCAAACTACTTTGTTTCTGGGTTGGACAAAAAAGAAGTCACAAGCCAAAATAACCCCAGCAACTATTTGGGAAGAAAAATACTCTCAAGGAATTTTAGTAACCTTTTTTTCCTGTCTCAGTGTAAAACCATCACAAAGAACTACTCAGCTTAAAGAAACAGGACTGACCCTGTTTGAGCAAATATAGGCACTCCCATACACATCCTGAGCTAGCAGGGAAAGTATCCAAAGACATACAGAAAGGGTTTTTACAGAAAGGGTTGTTAAGCAGTGGAATAGGCTCCCCGGGGATGTGGTTGAGTCACCATCCCTGAATGCTTTTAAAAACCTTTTGGATGTGGTGCTCAGGGACATGATTTAGCGTAGGGTTGTTAGAGTTAGGGTAGTAGGGCTAGGTTGTGGTTGGACTTTAAGGTCTTTTCCAACCTGAGCAGTTCTATGATTATGACATACATCTCAAAACACCAAAGGATTAATTCCACGAAGCAGCAGAAGATGGATTAACAAAGGTCACTTAAGGAAGTGGGCATCTCCTACTTTAGCTGCAGGCAAAAACCAAGAAGGCTCTTTGAAAACCCAGCAGGAAGAAAAACGGAATATTACAGAGAGCTTTATTTTATTATATCACTATTTTTTGTAACTGTGCTGCCTTTAAATGACGGATCAAAATCTGTAAAAAGAATGACACGCAGTGTACGCTTTTTTCCTCTTAGGTGTAAGCACATCTTACACCAGGAAAATGAACTTCTAGGCTCTCATTTTCTGTAGGAATATTACTTTGCAGAGTTCAATCAAATAGGCTAATACTTGAACAGCATCGTCTGGTCTGCCACTAATCCTCTTTCTACCAAGTCAGACTACACAGAGTCAGCCCCTGTTTTATTGTAGAAATCTCTTTAACTCGTTAAGCCACAGTGGAAGTTCCAAAGCAAATGAGGTAAAAACGCAAGGAATAACAAAACATTTGTCAAATAAGTAACAGCTTCTGGGCATCTGCAACAGAAACACAGTTATTTCAAACACACAACTTAGGCCAATTAAGGTTATTAAAGTGATTTTTAAAGAAATTACACCATGTATATGAGGGCACAAACGGCAAATGTTTCAAATATCTTTCTCATTCATTATCACTCTATAATAGTCTCATCTGATATTTCTATCACATTCTTGCAATTATAAAAACAAATAAAAACTCCAACAATTCCAAAGGAACTCCTTTTTGTGAAGAGTAGTTCTAGTTCACTTATCAAACACCAGTATACAATATCACTATGGCACATTTGTGAAACACAACCATACTTTTACACATTCAGCACAGAGTACTTATTAAATAGAAATCTAAATGTACCGAAGGCAAGAATGCTTTCAACACAACAGATCCTTTCAGCCTTCAATAAAGCAGGGCAGAACAGACCCACTGACCTAAATACTCCTTTGCACACAGATGGCCAGCCTGCTTTCTAAACCACTTCCCTTAAAGAAACAAAATGAATTCAAACGAAGTACCATTTACAGCCTTTCCAACTATATGTCATTTTATCACAATAACTAACATTTTTCCTGGCATTCTGGCAATAAATTCTGAATACCTGCACCTACTTCCTCTGTGTTTTCCAATGTTGTCCTTTTTTTCTTAACTAAGAAAAATTTAAGTGTTTAATCATCAGCAACAATGACCCACTGAGAACTTGACTATCAAAGTGTGTAGGTGACAGATTGAATCCTTGACCAATATCACTGTGACACCTTAAACTAAATACCATCTAAAATGCCATCTAACTTTAACTTAAGGAAGACAAGAATCTGTATTGATTTCTGCCATGTAGAGCACGCAGCATATATTCTTTACGTGCATTTGCTGAGAGTCTCAACAAATAAATAGGAAAAAAATCCAAAGCTTTAGAACTACCAAACTTAGTATAGAAGAAATTATTCTGAATTCAGTTCTGAATTCAAGAGACAAGAACGGGCATTTTTCATACCTACTACTCACTGAACAAGCAGCAGATGAAGCAGTTCATAAAGCGAGGTCAGCTTTGAGAAGTCAGCAAGTGCTTTAAAATAACCCCTTGGGGCTTTCTGCAATAGCTCTGACTATGGACTAGGTGATTCCAAGCTGCTCGCCCTCTCCCTGAAGAATATCTTAATCTCCTGCCCTCTGCAATGAAAGATTCCTTCATTTCTCTGTTTATAGCACTTCAGAAGAGATGGATAAAGTGTTCAGAAATCATTTGGGTCAGAAAGAGCATGACCTAGAATGTAGTCCAATAACAAGGAACTGCTTCTATGACAGGAGATTCTCATCTACATTCCTACCATTCATTAACAGTAAAATCAAACATCCCTAAGAAAATATGAAGCAAAACTAAACATTTTCCACTTTCATAGCATTCTTGCTTCAAGAACAATAATATCCAAGTTTATTTTCTCGGGCGACTGAAATAACTAAAATCATTAGCCAGTTTCTAAACTACTAATATAATTCAACTAGAGACATTTTGTTTTTCCAGTCCAAATGCTATTACTTACAGACACCTGGTTTGCAAGTCTAACAAAATTCAAACTTGAATGACACTATTCACTAATACTACTATTTATTTTGCAGTTTTATTAAGGCCTTTGTATACAGATAATTTAAGTTTTAAAGTTAGGTGAATAGCTCCTTGAAAACATATGCCCATATATGATTCCTGCTTAGTTCTCAGTATGAACCCCATATATACCTATCAACACAAAACTACTGTCTAGGGCTGGGATACAAAGTAAGGATCATCTACATGTAACGCTACACTCCTGTGTTCAGCAATAGTTCTGTGCAGATCACATGCAACGCATCAAAATATAAGGCTTGGGAGATCTAGATTTTTCTAATTACTGACAATATTTTCTAAATACATGCCATGTTTCTGAAATTTTCACTAATAACAGGTCTGAGGTTTTCATAGAACCGTATTGTGGTTCTGTGAGGGACCTCAAGTATCACCAAGTTCCTGCCCCTCTGTCATGAGCGGGGTTGCCAATCACTAAATCCAGCACTAGATCATTCTGCACAGGGCCCCATCCAGCCTGGCCTTGAACATTTCCAGGGATGAGACATCCACAACTTCTCCGGGCAGCCAGTTCCAGTGCCTTACCACCCTCCTAGCGAGAAATTTCCCCTGAGGTCAAATCTAAATCTCCCCTCTTTTAGCATAGACACATCCACCCTTGTCCTATCACTATCCACCCTCGTGTTGGTTTGGTTTTTTGTTTAATTTCCTTCCTGTTTCTCAGCTCCCTTCAAGTCCAGCTCCCTCAGCCTTTCATTCTAGGAGAAGTGCTCCAGCCCCCGATCATCTTTGTGGTCTCCTGTGGCCCTGTTCCAACTGCTCCATGCCTTTCACATGCTGAGGGCCTCAGACTTCCATGGGGCCCCCCAAGAGCAGAGTAGAGAGAGACAATCCCCTTCATCTCCCTGCTCGCCACATCTCTTTGACGCAGCCCAGGATACTGTTATCCCTCTGGGCTGCAGGTGCCCACTGCAGGCTCTCATTATGTTTTTCATCTACCAGGCCTCCTAAGACCTTTTCTGCAGGGCTACTCTCAAGGAGTTCTTATCCCAGTCAGTACACTTATTTGTGATCAACCAAAGTGTAACACCCCGCACGCTGAACCTCATAAAGTTTACATGGGTCCACTTTTCAAGCCAGCACAAGACCCTCTGGGTGACATCCTTCTGCTGTAACAACTGCAACACAGAGCTTGGTGTAATCAGCAGATTTGCAGAGGGTGTGCTCAACCCCATCATCTACATCACTGATAAAGATGTACCAGTCACAAGACAGAATGCTGGAGGTCGCCACTCATCATCAGCCTCCACCTGGACATAGAGCCATTGACAACTACCCTCCGGTTGCAATCTTCCTCCCAATATTCACCAAATAGTTCACCCTTCAAACTCATCTCTCTCCAATTTAGAGATGAGGCTGTGGTGTGGGACCATGTCAAAGGCCTTGTGCAAGTCCAGGTAGACAGCATCAGCTGCCCTTCCTTTGTCCACCGATGTTATTGATTCCTAAACAAAGACAGTCTATCAGAAAAGAGTTAAGGCCAAACTCCGTCAGCCATAAATGGTGAGATTCATCTGAGCAAATAATCATGTCCACACATGAGCTAGCCATTCTAGCTTCTCTTGGAGAGTAGAAGACATTTCTAGGGTGATTCATCTCAACTTAAAATAGACTCCTACAATCAGTTTGATGAAGTACATTTCTAGGGTGATTCATCTCAATCTAAAATAAATTTGCACGCTTAGATGAAGCGCAGTCCAAGAGTGCCTACCTCCTTCCCTTCAGTAATTACTCAAAGAAGAAAGTAACTAGCTGAGATGCCAATGTCTACACTCTAGATATCTAAAGGTAAGTGAGATGAGTCCCACCCAAGGTAGCTATAAAATTATCATACAATTGTTACAATGCAGCAGCCACAGACCGCTGCTGTTTGCCTCACATACATTGAGGTTTAAATTCATAACAGCCTTTCAAAAATCACTGCCTTGATCACACATCACTACTCCATGGCCTACTCATCCCCCCCCAGTGAAAGTTTAGCTTTTGGCTAAACATATGTTTAACTCCTCATAGGTTTTCCTGAAACATTGAGTGATATTAATACATCAATAAAAAAGCCATCAGCTCTCATTTAGACAGTTTTGGGGTTTTTTTTAAAATAATAATAAAAGAACGTCTAAATCCATCTACCAGAATATTGCAGCAAAACATATTCATTGATATTTTCCAATCACCTCAGCAAACAACAAAACAGAAGAGCCCAAACAGCTACGGGTGGCACACTATGTTTTCTGAGGATAAATGTACACCACAGACTTTGAGAATTACTCTGCAGCTGCTTAAGTTATCAATGTGGTAACACTAACACAAATCTTTCTAAGAATAAGAACGCATTTACAATCCAACTTCCCATTTTGAAACACTTCCTGGCAGAAGATGAAAGAAGCTCCTTTGAATTTAAGTTCCTAAGACCACAGATACATTTTTCCAATCTTTTGAAAAACATTCTATAACATGCTTTAAATAATCAAACTATTAAAGTGCGTATTTTGCAAACGTATGTTTCCTCGGCACGCACAAAAACCATTTGCAAGAAATTCAAGCTTTGGCAAGTTTAAAGAACTCAAAATTGTGCTGAAAGTGGGTGTAGTTACGATGATACGTAAGTGGTCCTTCCCCTGACTACGTAAATGACTTACTGAAATTGAAATCCATCCACAGGAGTTATTAGGCTGTATCTATGTTAGTAAAAGCTGTAGTACAACAGTTTAATAGACAGAAGCAGGTGATTGCAGCAGAAGTCCCTGTTTCTAGTTTTAAAGTAGTCCAATGAGCTTATGCTAAATTCCATTGTCTGGTTCAGTGAAGAAAAATCCTTACCATCCACGTGTTCTAAAGCTGTCTGAGAACCAACCCTTGGCTTAAGTTTGGAGTTGGAGAACATTTGGGCTGGAGTAACACTCACCTTCCTACAGTAAAGTTCTAGTTCAATTTTTTCTGAAAAGAGTTCAACCCATCTATAGCAAAAATGCACTGCAAGCCAAACCAGCGAGCATGGAACAAGGATGATCACATCAAAATAATGCTGCTGCTTTGAATCAGAATGCTAACACACACACAGCCTCTGAGTACTTACTTGATGCAAGGGTCTCAGCCTGAAGCCCTCATGAATGCAATCACACAGAGAAGCAGGGGTATTCTGCCTCCCGCCCCCATCATCCCCAATATCTAGGTATATAAGCAATCTAATCTAATAATTTCCAAATCAAAGAGATGTGGATTTGATGGGTGGACTATCCAGAGGATAAGGAATTGGTTGAAAGGCAGCAAAGGGTGGTGATCTGTTCCGTGTCCAGGTGGAGGCTGGTAATGAGCGGCGACCCCCAGGGGTCTGTCTTGGGACCAGTGCTCTTCAACATCTTTATCACTGACATCAATGATGGAATCCGGTGCACCCTCAGCAAGTTTGCTGATGACACCAAGCTCAGTGGTGTGGTCGACACAGTGGAAGGAAGGGATGCCATTCAGAGGGACCTTGGCAGGCTGGAAGGGTGGGCCTGGGTGATCCTAATGAGGTTCAACACAGCAAAGTGCACAGTTTTGCACCTGGGCCAAAGGAATCCCAGGCATCCTTACATACTGTAAGGAGCAGTCCTTGAGAGCAGCCCTGCAGAGAAGGATCTGGGGATCCTGGTGGATGAAAAACTCAACATGAGCCAGCAGTGTGCTCTTGCAGCTCGGAAAGCAAAAGGTATCCTGGGATCCATCAAAAGAGGGGTGGCCAGCAGGGACAGGGAGGTGACTGGCCCCCTCTACTCTGCTCTTGTGAGGCCCCATCTGGAGAACTGCATCCAGGCCTGGACCTCCCAGGACAAGAAAGACAGGGAGCTGTTGGAGAGGGTCCAGAGGAGAGCCACCAAGATGATCAGAGGGCTGGAGCACCTCCACTACAAAGACAGGCTGAGGGAGCTGGGCTTGTTCAGCCTGGAGAAAAGAAGGCTGCAGGGTGACCTCATTGCAGCCTTTCAGTACCTAAAGGGAGCCTACAAACAGGAGGGGAGTCAGCTCTTGGAAAGGGTAGATAACAGCAGGACAAGGGGAAATGGTTTGAAGTTAAGGGAGGGAAGATTTAGGTTGGATGTCAGGGGGAAGTTCTTTATTATGAGAGTGGTGAGGTGCTGGAACAGGCTGCCCAGAGAGGCTGTGGATGCCCCGTCCCTGGAGGTGTTCAAGGCCAGGTTGGATGGGGCCCTGGGCAGCCTGGTCTAGTATTAAATGGGGAGGTTGGTGGCCCTGCATGTGGCAGTGGGGTTGGAGATTCATGATCCTTGAGGTCCCTTCCAACGTGGGCTGTTCTGTGATTCTATGATAATCTAGATTTTCTCAACCAGGTTATAACTCAAGACACACAAGTTTTGTAACACTTGACACACTCAAACTTTTCATTTGAAGATGTCAGCTGTCTCTGACTACTTAAGCAATTAGGGATATCTACCTGTACCTATACATAAGCACACTCACACAAGACAGCTGATGATTCAAATCATTTCCAAAAGCTTAACATCACGTAAATTGATTTATTTTACCACAGAATTGTCTTTCTAAAATTATTCTAATTAATTCCTACTGCATGTTTTCATTAAGGAATGAAAAAACTATACCAATATCCTATATACATACAGTACTGTGTGAGAAAAAGTTTATAGGTTCATGCATCATCAGACAGGTCCTCAGGTCTAAATACAAGTAAAACAACCAACCATACTTTCTAAATAGGAGTGAGAGTTGCATTACATATTTCTGCTTTTAAAGCTTTATAACAAGTCAATGAAAACCATATTCAGACTATTTAAAGCAAGTTTATCATCCGGACCACAGCCCACTGAGTACACAGTTAAAGCTGGGGCAACCATTTTCATCTGGGTCAAGTTGTGAAAACAGTAGAAATGTGCTGCATAAAACATACGTGGTTTTTTTTTTTGTTGTTGTTGTTGTTTTTTTTAACATTGCATTTTATAAGCATGCATGAAACAGAAGAAAGATGCAAACAGCACTGATAAAGCCATCTTAAGCACAATACTAAATAGAGAATTAACTCTTCTAGGTTAGCTTAAGGACACTGGATTGGTTTTTAATGCCACCAGTAGATTAAAAGAAAAAATTTAATATCCTATATTACAGAAATGTAAACCAAATATTAATACGGGCCATTGACAATTTTCTGTATCTATTTTTAACATTCAGAAGAAAATAATCAGGAATCATAACTTACTAATTAAATAATATTTTCACTTAATAGACCTTAAAACACTAATTATTTGCTCAAACCTATTAGCGTATTAAAAAGCAAGACTGTAACTAATGTAAAGATACCTAAAGCCCTTGGAAGATCACCCTGCTTTCCTCGTCACTTCCAGGCTCAAATCAGGTCACTGACAGAAACTGAGAGTCTCATATATCTCAATTTATTACTGGAGGAGAGAGGGAGGAGAACACTGAAAAACAAACAAGCAAAAAAAGCTAACACCAGTAACTCTCCAATCACATACTGCTAAAGGAGTAGAAGATAGCTTCTATCTTAAGTAAAACACTGGCTTTGTAAGTCCGCAGCACAACTTCCATGGTTTAAACAAGCCCTGGGGAAGGAGTTCTCAGAGCACCTCCAGTCACCCACAAGGATATTTTTCTTACAGTGAAGACGATTCTTAGCTGATACAAACTGCCCAGTTTAGAGTTGGTTTTTAATAATGCCCAGGTGTACTAACAGCAATGTGCACCTCAAGGGAGAAAACTCCACAGCTAATATCAGTGTGGATCTATTCCATGCTAATGAAGATAATTTTATCTTTAAAATAAAATTAATCAAGACTCCATCTCTTCAAAATCTGTTAGAAGAACAGCTACAAACATCGATTAACAACAGAAACCACGTAGTAGGGTTTCCTCCGCTCCAATACGGAAAAGCCTACGGTTCACCGCTTTCCCACTTAATGCAAACGTCTGCACCGAGCTTTATTATTATTATTTCCTCCCCTTACGGTACGCGCATCATAAGGAATTACACCACTACTTCACCAACCAAGCACACACAGACAGAAAAATGCCTCTTTTTCGCCTCCCCCCGGACAGCCAGGATCCCCGTAAACGTTAAAACACACAGAACCCAACCCAAAGCACATTAAAACGGCGGCAAGTAGACCTCAAGAACCGGCACTAACTGAGCAGAAATGCAGCGGCGACTTCTGCCTTTCAGAGCCCCGAGCACAACGCTTCTTTCGGGCTCAGCCTTCCGCCTAGAGGAAGCGAGGCACCGAGCAGGAGGAACACGGACAGCTGCTGCTGCTCTGCTTTACAGCCGCCCGCGTTACAGCAACTTGCTGGAGCACACAGCGGCCAACATCGCTACGTTTAAATCACATTAGCCGCAAAAAAAAGAAGAAGAAAAAGAAAAAAAAAGGAATATTAAGAGTGCAGCTAATCGCGTGTCGGGAACAAAATACCACGAACTAAGCCGAACGTAGAAACACGTCCAGCTCGAACCCCATCCGTGCGCTGCCACATCTGCAGCATGACAGCGGAGCGCACCCACCTCCAGCGGTTCGCCGCTCCTCCTCGGCCCCTTCGGCGCTCCCCGCTCCTGCCTCGGCCATGGCGGGCGGCCCGAGCCCCGCTCCACAGCGCCCCCGGCCCCGGCGGCATGCGGGAGGTGAACTAAGGTGAGAAGGAACGGCCCGTCCTGCCGGCCCGGGGGCGGGCACTTGGGCGCCCAGCCGGACCCCCCTCCCCCGCCTCCTTGGCGCCTCCTCAGCAGCGCCGGCACCGCCACCGTCCTTCTCCCTCCCAGCCCGCCCGGCGCCTCGCGTCTCGCGAGATTTGGGGCCGCGCGTGAGTGGGGTGAGGTCGGTCTCCACCGGCCGCCGGGGTGAGGTGAGGGGGTGGTTGGCCTCTCGGCTGCCGTGTCCGCAGGCAGGCAGGGAGCGAGTGGCTGAAAGCCAGGATTCCCCGAGTTGCTGAGGCTGTAACTATGTTCTAGGCTGGTATCAGGTGTGCGCTTTCCATAGTATCATTAAGGTCGGTAGAGAACTACAAGACCGTCTATCTTACCTATCATACCATGGCCACTGAACCACGTCCCTCAGCGCCCTGTTTGCACGTCCACCGCTTCCCTTTGAAGTGAGTTAACCCGTAATCCTCGTTGCGTTTTGGCTCACATCCCGAAGTGGTATCGGCGTGTGCAAACTGTTCTTTTAGCACGGGAAGCTCAAGTTGTAAGGACTTAATGGGCTGCAGCTGCAGTGGGCGTTGGCTCCATGGCACCCCTCTACAGCTGACCTCTAAGCGGTCCCACAGTACGGCTGCTGGGACAGCAGCAATACTTGTTTTTCTCTGTAGAACCGGTCCTGCTGTGCTGCCCCTCTCATTAGCGGTGATATTGCCTCTGCTTGCTCAGTTCCAGCTCTAAGTGTGGTAGAACAAGCTCCTTACCCGAGCCACAAGACTACTCTGTACAGTAGAAACGTTCTTGGCTAAAAGTGAAAAAAATATATATGGCTCAATACACACACAAAAAAAGACCATCTTGGTTTCAATAATAGCAAAAGCGTTGTTTTCATAGGTATTTTTCATAATCGATTGCATTATGCTCAAGGAAAATAAGTATAAATGAATGCTAGTTATCTGTCCTGGTCAGAAGTTGCAAGCATGCCAAGGAGTAAGACAAACCTGTGAGTACTAATAATATTGCTTTTGCAGAAGTAAATTGCTTGAAGGGTAGTTTCCTGAACTTCTATTTTCTTCAAACAAAATAGTCACATGCAGCCAAACAATGAGTCTAGATCTGCAGCAACAGTGCAGAGGGACTCTCATGGTAGTAAATACTTCACCACTCATGGTAAAACTACAGGTTGTTTGGTTATTTATCAAATCACAGGAGACTGTTCACTGCTGACTTGCTTAAAATGTATGTATTTTTCAAAATAAGAAATGGTGAAGCCTTACAAATATTCTTATTAAAGCTTGGCATACCTGGCTAGACAAAAACACACATATGTACAACAGCTCCTTCTATGTTTGTTTTATCTGTGCAGGAAAGTTGACATTTTATCTTGGCGAAGCCAGTACCTTGAAACAGAAGTCTCATCAGATCTTTGCTTCTCTGCTTCCCTCATCCCATCCAAAACAGCAGATCAGTACTTACTTGCATTGTGTATAAACATGTTTGCCAAAATACTTTCAAAAATTTGAGAAAGAAGATCCTCACAGTGTTGTGAGCTAAGTACATTTGACCACACCTATGAATTTAATGCGACGTGATTGAAGATTACTAATTTTCATAGGTAATGATAAAGCTGGTTAAAAACAAATAAACAACAAAACAAACAAAAGAAAAACCACCAGAAAACAAACATATTTTTAATTTATTGTTTTCTGAGATTTATGCATAATTTAGTGGTCTAAACTCCAAACTATGATCTTGACAAGTACTTGGTTACAATCCTGAGCTCTGTCCTATCCTTTGCAGTCTGAAGATCCCAAGATACTTTAGATGCTATGGTGGCTACTCTGAAAGTAATTCCTCCTGTTTTATAATGTTTGCCCAGAATATCAGAGGCAGATGTTTGGTGGTATGGCAGTTAGGGTTGAACCTTCTCACTAATATTCCGTTACATTTTGTTGCTGCACTCATAGCTAAGCCCAAGGTGTGTTACAAATGAGTTTTCTTCTGCCTTGGTCTCCTGAAGCTCTTAGGTTCCAAGTTCATCAATATCTGACTTGTATCTGCAGGCTGTCATGTCAAAGAGTATACAATTACACAACTGTGATTCTGACAGAAATCATCCAGCCCAAACAGCGTGATGCTTACCAGCTTACTGGCTGATGTCAACTTCTGCAGGAGATATCATTCTGCAGGAGATACCATATGTAATCCAGTGTGAAGTTAGGATGGGATAACTGGTCAGCATTTTCTGGCATAATAGCGGCCAGGAAAAAAGTTTATTTTTGCTGTAATCATACTCCTACTAAACAGGCTGGCCTTCATGCCTCTGTATTGCATGTGCATCTTGTACAAGTTGCTCTGTAACAAGATCTGCTGTCATTTGGCTTTACTACTCTAGGTGTCTGCACAATATGCTTGCTAGATGAGGCGTGTGGAAGAGCAGAGAGGGTGAACTGCTCTAACAGAATATGCTTACCTGGCTGGGGAGCAGTGGCTTCCAGCTGGGGATGTTGATGAGCAAATGCAATTGCACTACTAGGACATTCTCCATGTATGCTTTTGCCTAAGGTATTTTTCTCCCCTTTAAGTAGTACGTAATCCTGCAGTCACTATTGCAGTGCTGTATATATTCCCCCATGCTGGTTCAGTTGGTTTTACAGAATTTGGACCAGAGAAAGCAATTACAAACCTATTCTATCCTACATGAAAGAAAAGGCAGTGGAAAGAGCTAAAAGACAGGAGTTAGTAATACAATGCCGTCATCTTTCAGAAAATCAGTACAATTTATTCACATATTTATTCAATATACAACTGATACTGGGGAAAAAAAAAAATCCAAGGATTTGTTCACAGGAAGCTTGAATTTCATGTGTGGCACCGCCAAAATACTTTTGCCCCCTATTTGAAGCTAGGAGCTTCTTCTTCTGGGTTTGCATCATTGATGGACAGCAAAATGTTAAGATTTCAGAAGAGTGAGTCAACCGCATTGACTGAAAATGCTTCACAGGGAATGGAAAACGGCCAGTGCTACAAAGCAAAATGAGATAAAGATTTAAATGGTTCCAGAAAAGTGTTCGTTAGGCTATTAAAAACAAACTCTCTCCATAGGGGAACATTCAATGAGGACATCCAGAATGCATTACACTGTTGTTGTTGTATTTAAGTGACTCACTAGAAACAGAGCGAATGTATCTTATTTGCATGTTATTTAGTGTTTTTAGTGCAAGAGTAGAAATACTTGTAATTTAATGAATGCAGACTTTTTTCTTTTTTCTTTTTTTTTCAGTTTATGATATATCTGGGCCAGAAGATCAGAAAAATCCTTCAGCAATATTTCTGCCTGTCATGCTTTCATAGTACCTTTACAACCTGTGTATTTCCCCTTCTTGGTCAATGTCTGATTTCCTAGCGCTCAGAAAGCTTTTATAAACGTAATACACTGCCAATTAAGCATTACTGATTTTAAACATCATTTCTTAGATTGTTTCTTATTCAGAGGTGCTGGGTGGGCTTCTCATTGCATATTTCATACGTTTCATACATGACAGTAACTGATGTTTTTAGCAGATAGCCTGGAGTCTTGCCAGAGTAGGATCCAAGTTTACGTAAGGTCACACTTCATACATTTGCCCCTTTTTAGGTGAGCAGTCTCCCTTGAGTAGCTTCTAGCTATACAATAGAGAACAGAATGCTTTATGTAAGCAACAGATAACCTCTTTTTTTCCAAACAACTTATACAACGACTTGCTGGGGGGGTTGGGGGGGTTAATATAACAATCAAACTGTTAAATAATAGCCTGTGACAGAGCACTGAGGGAGCAGCTAAAGAGAGGTGTCTGCAGTATCCTTCCTTTAGAGAGGTGTCTGCAGTATCCTTCCTTTTTCATGTTCTGTAAATGGTTAATAGCATCTGATGAAGCATAATGTGTCTTTAGGATGTGAAGAGCATCCATCAAATCAACATTTCTCTGAGATACCATCCCAAAGAGCTGATTTCTTGGTGGATTTGTTGGGGCTAACCTTGTCCCATGCACACTGCTCTTAGGAGACCTGTTTCAGAGACAAGATGGAAAAAAATACTCTTTTGAGGGACCACCAATAGCTGGGCCATGTAGTACCATGGTGATTTAGAATGCTGCACATAAAAGATTATTAGGTGAAAGCTACCTAGTTAACATTTTTTTCCCTCAGAATTTAAAACCAATACATTGAAATTGCTCAGCACACCTTTAAATACAATCACAGATTTTTCATACACTTCTCTTCTGGAGCTTGGGTGTTCATGGTTTCCTCTTAGACCAGAGTACTCTGTGGCTCAGAGTAATGTAAAGAGCAATGCTCGAGTCCTGAAACAAGCAATTTTTTAGAGCATTTGTGAAGAGGATAACTAATTAGAAGAATAAGAATTAAAACTATTTAAAAACAGTATCTTTTCTAGTCTGTGGTTTATGCTTGGTAGTGATTGGTGGTCTTGGAGGTCATTGGGTTACTTTTTAAGGCATCACAAACAATCTGTTGATTTTGCTATACAGTCTATGCATTAGTAAAATGTGCCGTCGTGTTAAAGAAAAGTTCTTCCCCACATCAGGGGAGACTTTTGCTTCAAAAATTCTGTAAGTGGCATAGTCACACTGTAATCAGCCTATTTAAGAAAACATATTTTAAAATGCCCTTTAAGTTATTTCCACTCGGTAACTGTTACAAAAGCCCTTCAGAGAAGCAAAAATGCAGCACAAAAGAATGCAAGCTGTGCTAACACAGTACAGTGAGTGAAGTGTAAGATTTATGGTATGCAGTGTGTCAGATTAGATTGTGATAGTGATATATTCTGGCTTTAAAGATCTGTAAATCCCTGACAAATTCCTTGCATGAAGAAACAAGATTCACTTGAGAACAGCTTCCAGCTATTGTGCTCTCTTGTAATCTAAGCATTGGAGCAAGTAGAATGATCAATTTATTTTGAGGTTCCCTAGCGAAATTAAATCAAGTCAAACAGATGAGCATTTTCAAAAGTGACTGTGTTATTTCGGAGTCCTGTCTGGCAAGGTTTGTACAATGTAATATACTTGCTTGTAAATCTCTTGCCTAGAAGTCTCTCAACCTGATGGCACCACTTTCAATTTAAAGACAAAATAAACTTCACATCTTAAGGAATCTTTTCATTCGTGGCAGAAGTTGGTGTTTTTGGAACATCTAGTAAGAACCTGATGTCTAGTGTATCTGAAAAACAGTATTACTGTTACAAATCTCTATAAAAGGACAAATAAAGCTGCTTAGGGAGCCCATTGAAAACAAAATTAAAATGTGCCCATAGTGTACAAGTGGCAGCCCCAATCCAGTTCTGGTTCAATAGGATCCCTGAGTTCCAGCAGTGTTTTTGCTATGGCTAGAAGAAATAAAATCCAGCCGTGAGAGCAGCATATGGCTTGTGTATCAATCAGTCTTTGAGCATTTGAGCTGCATCATCTCATCCATCTTTGCCTATAGAGAAGGTTCGGATGATTTATCACAGCACTGTCTGAAAGTCATCTCCTTGGTTAAAGCAGGTTTGTCATCTGTGGTACAGATTCCTGGGCTCTTCTAGAGTTAACAGCCTTTTTGGGTCTGGAACACAAGTCTTATGAGGAATGGCTGAAGGAACTGGGATTGTTTAGTCTGGAGAAGAGGAGGCTTAGGGGAGACCTTATTGTTCTCTACAACTGGTAAGAGAGCAATGCAAATAATTGAAAATGCAAGCCCCCTTAAATCTGGGCAACTAAGAGAGAATTAACTGAAAGCAGAGCTTGTCGACTGTTGAATGCTGTTGGCCCTGTTTGTCCAGTGTTACTGAGCTGAAGTATCTGGCTGAATGGAACACATCCATCATTCACTGACTGATCTTGACAAAGCAAGGAGTTGTGCTGAACTGTGCTTCCTAAGACGTGCACAGCCAGTGCTTGGGCTCAGCCTAGGTCAAATCCAACAGTGATCCACTCTGCTTTCTCAGGAAAATGCTTTTAAAGAGATTGTACATTTTGTGAAGCTTCCTTGAGGCATCAGATTAATACTGCTTATCAAACAACATAGGTAATATTTTCTTCTTTAATTATGGAAGTACCATGCAAGTCTCTCAAGTTTGTGTTTGAGCCAAAAGGCATCTTCTTGATATACTGGTTTTCAACAGATTGAAATCTATACAGAGCAAAATCTTTTTGTCTCTTTTCTAAAGCATGGCATCAGCAAACAGCTTGCTTTTGAAACCATACTTATCCCCTGATTTCTCTGTGCTTCAGATAGGGATCTTTTGCTGACATCAGTGGGAACTGGTTAGGAGCTCAAAGGCAGCCTACTGGACTGAAAACCTTGAGACGCGTTGTCTAGTTTAATGGTGACTCACTCTGACCTGACCAAACAGTCATGGGGTGTTTTATCTGATCCTTTATTATTATAAAGACCAGCACAGGGAAATCAGCACCCAAGATGAGCAGAGCCACTGCAGCCTTTGGGTAAGGCACTGGAGAAGTTGTGTTCATACTGCTGTCACCTTTTCAGCCCTTGGCTTTGCAGGTGGCCACATGTGTGTGGCTGCTCCATGAGGGGGGAGAGGGGGCCAAGGCAGCAGCAAGGCACCTGCCTCCCCTTTGAGCTCTATGAGTCTCAGCTCCTACATCCATAAAGGGATGCAGATTGTGCCTAAATCCCTGGAAAGAAACAACGTATTAGGCACTCTTGGTGTGTATGCAACACTTGCTGTCCGTAATTGCTGTTTCTTTTTCCCAAACATGGATACAGAGGCGGTGGTTACACCCTGCGTTTACACAACAGCCTCAACATTATAGCTCATCTGCGACGAGTTCCCCTTTCAACATCATCTGGTTTCAGGGGAGGTGCAGAAGCAATGGCAAAGATTTGGTCTTTGCCAGAAGGAAGGCAGGGAAGGTGGTGTGGAGAAGAAAGGGCTGCTACCAGTGGAAGGAGGGCTACCTGGGGACAATGCAGATGCCGCACACATGTCCCTGCAGGAGAACAAAGCCGCAGCAGATGGTGGTTAACTAGAAACAGATTAAAGCAGCTGATAAAGAAAGGAGACGGGCTTCCAGAGTTGCTTGCAATCAGAGACAAGCTGTCCCTAGGTGAGCTCTGACTCAACTGTGAAACGAGAAACCTGGATTAATTTCCCTGAGCACGAGAAATTTCAAACCTATGTACCCCATTTCCCTGGAAAACAGCAACCTCTGTGCTATCAGCTCATCTGGAGAAGTGATGGGAGGAGGAGGTAGTGGCGAGATGAATATAGATTCAATTGCCCTCACAGTAACTGCAGTAGTGTTCTGTGCAACAAAGCATACAAATCCCAGGGCCAAGAGCAGTAGCAGCAAGTAGGAGGCAATGGGGCTGTTTTGCTTCATGTTGGAGGTACTCAGTTCCAGCATTGGGTCCTGTGTACCAGGCCCTGCTCTGTGGAATAGTTCTCCACTTGGGACAGTCACTAAAACTACAGTAACTGGAGATAATAACTATATTTTTAAAAAATTCTGAAGACAAAATGAGAGGAAAAAAAATACCAGGCTAAAAGCACAAGGGAGGAGAAAATTAAACTGGTAATTTAGAATATAATGAATTCTTTAAAATCTACTTAGACTTCAGGCCCATTACCACTGACAAAGACTGTGCTCATTCTATTAAGTTAATGTGCCCTTCTCCAGCACTGAACTGCCTCAGTAGCTGATGGAGCAGGTATCTCTCAGACATAAGCTCTTTAAACAGACTCGTTCTTAGCAGAGCCCACCACAACTGACAGTTACAGTGCATTGGCATGCACATTTCAAACCATCTTCCATTTGTGAAATTCAGGTATTGGATATACACCTTAGAACCTCTGAGATAACCAAAGGTTACATCCAGAATAAATAAAAAAAAAAGCCTTAAATAAGTACATTAAGCACTGCCTGACTAGTGAATCCTTTTTAATCCAGAGCTGGTAACCACTGCTGCCATCACACCCCACAGCAACACAAACTGTCAGGATATTCCTACTTTCTCTCTTCATAGGAAGGTTGTCAGAAAGACATTTTATTGTCTAAATCATAAATGTTTTGCTCACAAGGCACACTGTATTCAAGATGAAGTGAAATATGAACATCAGATATTTGCAGTATTGTTTTGTAAACGCTATATAGTATTTTCTTAAGTAGTTAATTTTGGAAGTGTTTTTGCACATGCTAAGGCATAGCCTTTTAATTTGTTATTGAAGTGCTGTATTTTTCAGAAATAGTGGATTTGGTAATGCAAGAAGAGAAAGAATGCAGCCTCAGTGCAAGATAACAGTTAATACAAGAAGACTGTAATCCCATTAAACAGAATTTGTAAGATTCTGTTTGAATTACATTAACTTGGTGAGAGCAGCATTCTTCAAGTGGAGGGCACTCAATGGAGGGCTGCAGAGAAGGCCACTCATCAGGTGTCAGCTCCAATTTGCTTTCAGCTGCTCAGCCCCGTAAGTGTTTTACGTGATCGTGTCACAACAGCACGTGCTGTCATTGCTCTAAACTCAGGAAGGAATTGGGAGCAGTAGGACGAGAATGTTTCTGTAGTACAACTGTCTGTGGAAGCCTTTCTTGGCTAAATTACAGTCCTTAGGGAAGGAGATAAGAAGCCTCTAGGGAAGAACAATAACCTTTTTAGAAGCAGCTTCGTGTGGCTGCAGTTGGTAGAAGTCGAGTACTTTTTGCTGCTCGAACATCTGACTGAGAATGGTGACATGGGGTTTTTGTGGGAAAATCCAGTGGGATTCAAGATGAGAATACACAAAGCAGTGTCTCCACTCCTTAAGAAGTCTCCTGTTCTGGAAGAGAAACAATTCCAGCACTTTTGTAAAAAAATAAAAACTGCAACTCTACAAAAAGAATGCTACTTTTATTTTCAAATGCTGTAAAAAGCCTCATATAAATTTTTATAATGCTTCTATGTAACTTTCCCAACCACAACTAATGAAATAGTCTAGGAAAAATATAGCAGTTGCCATTTTGACTCCAAGAACAAGCTGCTGTAATATATCAACATTAAAATGACAAAGTACAGTATGTTACAATGCTTGTAATTGCTCGTGTTATTGAAAAAGTGAGAGCACTTCCTAAGCATTACAGTATAACTGGGCTAAACAGCAGTATTCCCTACTTGCTGCCGCAGAGGAAAGTCACCTCGTTACAAGGAGCCAACACAACGCCCTTGTACTGCTTATGCCCATTCCTCTTGGTAGAGTGGAGAGCTTTCAGCAAGCCCCTTTGCACTTAGGTGAATTCACCCACATCATGCTGTTATTCCATACTGTATCCCACGACTCAGGTGTTTGACAATTGACCTATAAAAATAACACTTACATAACTCTCCAGCAAGGCAAATTTAACAGTGCAAATGCAGTATCAACAATATTTGATTTGTGAATGCTGGCAATGTTTTTTAAAAACTCCTTTTGTACGTGAAACAACCGGCGCTGCCGTTCTGTACCCAAGGCCGCGCTCACGCCGATTGGAGATGGAACATAGCGCAAAAGCTCAGCTGTGTTTTCCGATCCAAACTTCCTCCTCTGTTTTGGCGTATTCAGATCCAGAACTTGGATTCAGGCCCACTACTTCCACTGACGCACTCGAGTTTTCCCTGCTGCAATCTCCCCAGCAAACCTCTGACAACAATTTGCATACAGAAATCCACATTTAAACAAAGTTAACAACGCTCGCTTCCAGAAAATAAATTTTGACATGGTTGCAATCATCAAGCCATTTCAGGATCTTTGGTACTCCAAGAATACAAAAAATAAATGGCACAGTGACAAACATCACCAAAGGAAGAAAATAAAAACAACCATCCAAACAAACAAGACAGAAAGAACAAAGCAAGAGATATGTCGCACTTCCATTTTTTGAAAGCCAGTGTAAATTAACCTTCTGTTCTCTTCAATCTATTACAGTGTCACAGTTTTATCTTTAAAAAAATTCTATATTCCTAAAAGCAGTAGTTAATATTTTGTTTAACTCGATTTATTGATTAAAATAACGCTATGTATTCAAAAAAATAAATTCAACTACCACGATACAGGAGTTTATGCTAAATAGGCTGCAGGCTTTTTCCCGGAGGATGTAACTCCTATGTGAGCACTGATATGATTAACCATCCTCCATTTTAAATGCTTATTATCTTTAGTGTTACAAGGATTGAGCTTTTTCCCAAGTTTGTAAACCAGTGAATATGTACAGATAGTTGTATCATAGATAGCTTTAAATTATATGTGTATTTATTTGCCCTCCCTCAAACCTGCACAGGAAAATAAAAATCACCAGTATTACTGAGCATTTGTAGTTCCCATGAAATTTATCTTGTCTTAGCAAGCTCAAGCAAAGGCTTCTTTTTATGTTATGCAAATAGGGTAACTGTGGTCTTTTGAAATGCAGTGCTCACAGGAATTCCACTTCTGGTGCCTAGTGCCCCACGCATGAGGCTGAAAATGAAAATGGAGAAAAATTCTCATTGGAATAGCAGTATCCTTTGGGGCCAAGTCTGTGCCTTGTATATGTTCCGCCCAAGATCCTCTTGGTAGAACAGATCAAATGTCAGACAAATGATTTCCTTTTCTGAGATGCCTCAGAAGCTACAAGAGCACTGGCAGAAAGGCATCCCAAAGTACAGAGGTGGGTTTAAGCGAGCTGCTGATTTTGGACAGCCTCTGAATGGATTCAAGTTGACTCTCACTACCTTAACATGGCTAAGAACAACACTGCAGAATTCCAGAAGGATCTTGTCCCAGTAGCAGTAAAGTGATGTTAATTATTCTAAGTTTTGGGAAGCAAAGAAATGGGAGATGGCTAAAATTGAACATTTAGACAAAGTTTAGCTTAGCCATAACATAACACAATACTTTGCAAATTGGGTGGACTTTAACACACTGTTCCTCTTCCATGAACTGCAGACTAAATTTTTTTGTAGAAAATCAGCATAAGTGAAAATGCCTGACAGAAGATAAAATATCAGAGTACAGATCACTGAAGCCCTTGAAGAATATTAACTGTTGGAATGGGGAAGAGTACACACAGGTCAGTAAGCCACTGATGCACAGAAACCTTTCTTGCAAATTGAATTTTATGCAACAGATAAGCACTACACAGTAAGATTTTGAAGCATACAAATAATTTGGAACAGCTGACACCTTGGTGCCAAACAGCAATAAATATTTCTGTGATAGCTTTATAAATAGTCACTTCCATTTTGCTGTGAATGTCAGTCTGCTGGAGTCCTCCCTACCATATGCCAAAACATCCTGTGCTTCATTCTGATGGGCGTTGTGAGGCCTCCAGAGTGCTTTACATTGCATCCAGGGGAAGAATGCAGCAATAGTGACTCTGCTTGTTCAATCACTGGTCAATTGTTTATCGCTGTAAGCCTTTTGTAACCAGAAAATGACATCAAAGATCTCTACTGTATTGAGACAGATTAGAAGCACTACAGATAATATGCCAGTATAGGCAGAGATGTAAAATTTGCCAGCAATTAGATACCAGCAAGCTGTTAAAGGAATGCTGTTTGGCTCTGAATGATGTCTAAGTAGATGAGCAAAATCTCAGCCAGCACCCAGGAGGCTCTGCTTCCATTTCCTTGACTCATCTCTGCTGTCAGTTTGTCACCAGCTTGCAGACTGAGAGTAATGGTAGTATATGCGCCACCTGATTCAGTCATGGTTGGTTATGTTTTCTGGTAACTGGGCTTCAAACCCAGCTGATCCCTTGCAACCTCATGGTTCACTTTAGGGAGAGACACGAGAAGACAACAGAGCCTACAGGACAGAGAGTCCAACGAGGCACTCCACTTCCTCTGACTTGGCAAAGGCTGCTACAGGTATTCCAGAAAGAGAAGGGTACAGCAATATCCCTTCTGCCTGGAACTTCTTATGGAGATGAAAAAGAAAAAGCAGCAATTTCATCACAGGGTAAGTTTTCTCAGACAGAAAAGGATGTTTAAATTCTCAGCAGCAAAAAGATGACCTGTCTCAAAAATGAGGCAAGAACACAATCCTGGAAATGGCTGCCATTTCAGAACTTGATGTCTGAAAAAAGTTCGTTAGGAGTTTTTATTGTTGTTTCTTTTTCTCTTGAATTTGCCAACACATACAATCATCATAAACAGTAACATCATTTTCAATAACAGGGCCCACCAACTATCATTTCAAGCAGATCAAAGGGGCCGTCTCCCTGCCCACATCCCACAGAACAAGGGATGATCTGATCATGAAACCCTCCAGCAGGGAGGAGGATTGACACTGGAGAGTGTACCAGTAGGCCCCACAGGACACTGCTATTTAAAATACGCCACACTCATGGGACAACTGCAAATCACAAACTGGAATAACCTTAGAGCCACTGCTCAGAGAATTGTGAAAACGTGGGCAATGGTTTTTTATACTGCATACCTAAAACCCACCAGGTGAGCAGTGTAACAACAACGCTGCATAAAATGATATGTTTTACTCCTGGGTGGATTAAATGGGTTACAGTACAAGCAAAGCCACAGTACAGAGGCATAATTAATTGTTATACACACATAGGCAGTGCAGTTACAAAGGGATGTATGGTTCCTTTTATTCCAGTACCTTTGTATAATAAAGTTAACAAAAATATTCAAATATTTAAAAAAAAAAAAAAAAAAAGAGCCAGCTGGCACTGCCAACTAATTCCTGTAGTAGTAGTAGTAGTAGTCTTAGAAATCCTAATCCTGTAGAATTTCCTTGTGAAACTGATGCGCACCAGAGTCAATATATTGATAACTAATGCCAAGCAGGTCTGGTGATGCAGCTACCTGAGGTTTGTAATTTTTGTTTTTTGTGGGTTTGTGTTTAGTTTCACAACTTCCCAGCTTTCATGTAGGTAGGGATCGAGCCACGCTGAGTGAGCCCTTCAAACCTCTTGTAGGTATAATTGAGGAAAACCCAGTCTTTGGATTTGTAGTCAGGTTCCGTTGTGTTTGGCACTAGAATTCAGACACAAAAATAAAAACAAAACAAAATTAAGAAGTGTTGCTTCCAAGAAGTCATAGAATGGCTTGAGTTGGAAGGAACCTTAAGGATCACCAAGCTCCAAACCTCCTGCCACAGTGTTGCCACCCCCTAAACCAGGCTGCCCAGGGCCCCATCCAACTTGGCCTTGAACACCTCCAGTGATGAGCATCCACAACCTCTCCAGGCAACCTGCTCCAGCACCTCACCTCACTTTCAGTGAAAACCTTCCCTTGACAAGTAATCTAAATCTCCCCTCCTTTAGTTGAAAACCATTTCCCCTTGTCCTATTACTATCTACCTGTGTAAAAAGTTGATTTCCCTTCTGTTTACAATCTCCCTTTAAATACTGGAAAGTTGTAACAAGAAAGAGAGCCTGCCAAGCACAGCAGTTCTTGCAGGAGAAGCAAGGCGGCTTCATCAACAGGCTTCCCTGTGCAGACCAAATGCAGGTATACACATAGTGTTATCCCCCCTGGAAACATAAGAAAAAAAACGTATCCAAATTCTCCTGAAAGAACAATGCACATGGAGCACATGTTCCTATTTTAGGACGTCTGCCCTGCTTACAGCTCCTACAAGGTTCAGCCAGCAGGCGATCTGGTCACGTTCTGTCTATGAACAGCACACACAGCTGGTGTGCTGATCACTGGCATTCACTGCAGTGGGCTCCTATATTAAGCGCTCAGATTGCTGCTCTTGGAGTTCTACAACAGCATGTTCAGCATGGGTGCCAAAAACGCTGATACTCAAGTGAGCATTTGGGCATCTGGATCCACAGGAACGTTTTCAGTAACACAATGTGCCTGAGATGCCAAAACCAATACAAATATACTTTGCATTACCTAAATATGGACTTCAGTAGCTAACAGGAACTGGAGATCAACCGTTTTTGCATTGAAAAGACAAATTTCTATGCCATTAAATAAAAGCCATCTCAGAAAAAAATAGCCTTTGATAATTCTTAAGAATGTTAGCACATCTGCACCTATTTGACAGAAATTAACCATTGTTATATATCTGTCTATCTTTAACCTATTAATAATTATTGAAAACAGTAGGAACTAGAGAACTAGGCACGTCAGCCAATCAGGCCTTTCATATATAACAATTTTCTACTACTCCACAATAGAAATTAACAATTAAAAAAATACCTAAAAGATCTGTAGAGCCACTCAGGCTTATACATCATTATGTTAAGTAATCATCTGCCTGAATTTCTTTGCCAAAAAATACGTTTGCCTTTATGTTTGGCATAAAATTAAGAAAAAAAAAAAGTTGAAGTAAAAAAAATCTGTACTGATCTGCTCTTGGTCAGACTTTGTTTATATCACATGGTTGACAACTGTACAGTTTTCAATGCTCACTATATATGCAAACCATTTACTAATAAATGTTGTTAAAATAAATGTCTTGTTAAACTCTTTTTTTTTTCCCCCAAAATTTTAAGGAAGTAGAAGCTATGACACATCATAGGTTAACATCTATTTTTGAAAGAAAATCTCTAGACCAAGCCTGTATATTGGTTAGGTTATCAGAAAAATGAACGTTAAGAAGAACAAATGAACCCAAGGAGTATTCTGGCATGCTGTAGACAGAAGTTTGGAATTTACAATGGTAGCCTCACCTGGCTGTAAAATATCAGATTCAGGAAATTCATCGAAGTTGGATGTATCGTCAATACTTTTGATTTCTATTGGAATTGCAGCTGGTCTTTCCCTGTAAGCAAACAAATGGCAGAATAGTGAACGTTAGGAAAAATATGCAAAGTTCCACCTTCGTTTAATTTAGATTTTTACAGTTGCAACATCCTTTCAATTTAAAAAGCAAAGGTTCCATTGAGTCCTTGAAAGATGCCTATTTTCTGACATCACAAGAAGGTTTCCTGGTTTCCTAGCATCAGCACGCTCTTGGCAAATGTGAGGAAAACACGCTTTTCCATTAGCTGAAACTGCATTCCACCCTCATGTGCCATGCAGCTATCGGTGTGATCTTTGATGTCACCAAGAACCACGGTGGTTACCTTCGTTCCATGGACCCAGCCTACCCAGCTGAGCAGGATTTTACTTGCATTTGAAGCCATTAGACACGTTGCTTTACAATTCCATGGAACTCATCCAAATATCTTTCAGCTGTAGCTCTTACTTCTGATGCCAGCATCTCAGATCCAAAATGAGTTGACTGACACGCTGCTGCTTTATTAGCTTGACACTCAGAACTCTTAAGGTAGCTTTTAAAGCTACTGAAATGATCTACCCCACAAAAACATTAACACTGGAAAACGGCACTGTGGGAGAGTTATTAATTTATAAGTGTAAACTTATTATAGCCATAATTATTACAATTACCCTTACATCCACTTCTGGGTGGAATGAGGAAACTTTTTTTTGCCAGATTGCCAAATGTGACTTGAACAAATACGTCACTGCTTTTGCTGCTTATTAATGTCTCCCACACTGAAAAGATAAATGAAGCTTTCCACACCAGAGGAAATGAGAAGAGCTGGACAACCACATTCTTACTGTATGGATTGTCATGCACAAAAACACAGCATTACTGGAAGAGCCATCCCAGGAAATCTGGGCATTTCTGAGGCTGCTCGCAACAGTAAAAATCTGATGAGATCTATGAATGCCAGCACAGCCTAAAAACCTTGAGCGTCAGTAGGTGCAGTTCAAAATGAGAGAGAATTTGCTATCATAGTGCATGAAATTCCTGCTGTCATGACTTCTATGTTTTCTATAAAAGGTGTGTATATATATACACATGTGTACCTGATATGCCCCCAGTCCACTCCTTCAAAAAACGGATGACTTTTAATTTCCTCCACTCCATTACTACCAATTCTGTTCTCTGAATCGGTACAAAACCTGAAAAAGTAGAAAAAAATAAAGAGAACATTACAATAAAAGCTGACTGTTGCAAAAGAAAATAAAAGCATCATGGTATCAAGGAGTCTTAGCAAACTGCTTAAAACTGTTGCATCTCCTGGTTAATGTAAAAGCAACCCATTGCCTCTAGGACAAACTTTGCAGTAACAGTCAGATTAGTCTCAAGCTTCATCAGATCTTATTTGGTTTGGTTTTATCTCTATCAATACAGGAATTTTGCTTTGTCTAAAACTTAATTTAAGCTCAAAAAACCTCTGTCTAATGCATCCAAGATGTACTGAACAAAGTATACATTGAGGTCTCTGGTGCCACACCTACTGTTTTGACCTTGTTGTAGTAAATTGCCCATTAACTAAAGATGTTTTTAAATTCAGCTTTGCATAGCTTCTTGAAATTGTGTGATTTTACACTTCATTAGCTCCTTCCACATAAAGAAAAAAAAAGCCTAAATGTAAATAGTCTTGGCATAACTAAATCCAGAAGCCAGTCTGCTAACAGATAGGCTTCCTATAATATCTCAAACTGTCCTGAATACAGCCAGAGAACAAGGGAGAAATCCCCAGCAGTAATACTCTGTGCTCTTCATAGCATAGAACTCAGGATGCTGACAGCATCAAGGAGCAGTTAAACAAAAACAACAGAGAAACAGATACAAAAAACATAATAAAATTGTTACATACAAAGTTATGAATAAAGATTAGCAATAATTAAATAATTTGAACTATGCTAGCATCAGCAACTGGATTAAGAATAACTATTGGCTGTATATGTTATGTTAGTTACATGCAATTGGAGCACTGTTTGGACTAATAACAAATTCTAGTTCTTGGCTCTACCTACAAAAGTGCATTCCTCTTTTTGCCAGTAATAAAACTGTGTAAGCTTGTATTATTTTATTTGAAAAAATAAAATAAACCAAGGCCATAAAGCATCTGCCCCTCCAAATCTGCCAGGTCTAGAACATTTCTGCCTGACCTTAATGACACTTCAAAACCTCTCCCAGAAATTCAGCACAAGCTGCACGGATGAAAACCTAGCATTTTGGAAAGCAACAAGTCGATTCAAAACATTCAGAAATTTCTTTCAGTGCCTTCAGTGTTGGTGAGTGGCTGTTTTTCTTAGTCCCTGAGAAGACAAAAATATTGTTTGATAATCACTATTTTTTTTCCCCCAGCTCTGTTTCTCCTGATACAGTGGTGCAAATCAAGATTGTTGTACCGTATTCCTTCATGTTACCCAAACGGCAAAAAGGAAAACACTGAAAAAATCCGTCAAGAAAGGTGACAGAGAAGAAACCAACTTTCCCTCCAAGCTACAGCTTCCTTTGTACAGGACAAAATTAACCTAATGGAAGATGATTAGGTGTGGGTGAATGGTCAGAAGTGAGCTCTTGATACTGACCTTAGAATTAAATCCTTTGCTTTCTCTGAAATGGGCACCTCTGGAGGAAATACCAAAGTTTCTTTCCAGTTCATAACTTTCCTGTAAGTTTCTTGTGGTGTTTCTGAGCAGAAAGGTGGATACCCTGCCAAAATGGGACATTAAAAAAAACAAACCAAAATAAACAGGCTCCACACACCTGCATTGCAATGGGAGATCAGATTGGGTGAACTGATGGACCCGGTCACCTCTGAACCCTCTGAATGATTCTTAGGTTGTGTTCTTTAACTTACCTATTAGCATTTCATACATAATCACTCCCAAAGACCACCAGTCACATAGTTTGTTGTACCCAGTCTGCATAAATACTTCTGGTGCAATGTAATCTGGGGTTCCAACAGTAGAATATGCCTGGAAGACAGAATAAACTGTTAAATAAATGAATGCTATATTTTTGCACTTTGCAAAAATCTCTTCCTGCAGATTCACATATAGCATCTTACTATGTGTGTGACAAGAGCGCTGAATTTGGCAATTCAAGATATGTACAGTCCCAAGAGCATTATTCTACATGAGTAAGCACAGATGCAGAGTTATTGTTGAACCTTGGAAGTAAATGGAAGTCATCCTTCTGAATATGAAGAAAAATAAGAGTTCCAAAACTTGAAAACGGAGGTTTTTGAGACTTTTGCAAACTGCTGTTCTGTAAAAATCACAAGGATAGCTGAAACTCTGAAAATCCCATGGCTGAGAGATGCTTCAGTCTGATTTAATTAATTCTGGAATGCCCTTTATTACCTGGCCATCCCCTGTACTGTAAACACAATTTGCACCACTCCAGTGTACCACTCTCCACTGCCTTTCTGTAACATTGCCTGAAACAGTCACAGCTCTGGAAACAAGCACATGAACCAATCCAGCTGGTGCTCATCCTACTCTTTGCTGGTCTACAACCTGAACCACTAGAGCACCTTGATTTAAACAGAATTTTGAGAGCTTGAAGAGAGCTATGTCTATAAGAGATGAAGGCTTTCCAGATTTAAAAAACATGAAACAGTAGAGCCTGTTTATTATTTATTGTTTATTGTTTTCTATAACTAGTTTAAAAGAAAAATATCATGATTTTTATGAACTTACCAGCTGTCGCCTGTTTTTCTTCCATGTTTCTGCTTTTCTCTTTGAGTTCATATTCTGAAATGCTAGTTCAGAAAACAGATATTAGATATTAAATGCATTTGTAAAGTAAAAGACCGATAGCAGTTCATATTTGAAAACGGACTATTTTCTATCTTTAGAATGCTTTTTTCTAGAATTAAAACTTCATTGTCACTGGAGACAGGAAAAGAACCACAAATAACTATCACCCAATTTGTGGCTGAAAACCACGTGAAAAGGACACGTGAACAGAAATTCTACATTAGCATTTGCTAAGAATTTTACAGACTGATCTGAGATCAGCCACCCTTATTGCTGCAGTTGGTAGAGTGCATTAAGATATGGTAACAGAAACTGGCCATGTTTTGTCAACAACATTTTGTAGACAACAAGAGAGAATCCAAGAAGTACTGCCAAAGCATTTTATGATTGTTGTCATGGCAAACAGATGAACACTTCACTCTTCTAAGGTTTGATGTGACTGCTGCTGACCTCAGTAAGCCAGCACACGAAACCCATGTCCAGTCTGAGAATTCAGATTGCATTACAATACAGATATGTTACTTTATGCCCATATGCATTTATACACAAATGTACAAAAACATACTAGCACTGCAGAAAGCATAATTTCTTATCTATGAAATGCTTCCATATCCTGGGAAACATGCATTTCCAGACTTCCAACTCCATGCTATCAGCATGACTAATCACACTTAACACAGCAGAAATAAAAGATGATGTGGTATAGCTGCAGCCCAAAATCATTTAAATGTTCACCTGGGACACCTTATACTTACAGAAGTCACTTGGTGGGTTGTGTGTAAGGTTCCTGTAGAACTCAGTTCTGTGAGCTTTTTTTAAACCCGTGCATAGCCCAAAATCAGAGAGTTTTACATGACCCTAAAAAACACCAAAGATGATTAAAAAAATAATTTAGAATAATTATATTAATTATTTATAATTGTTTTTTTCTCAAAACAAAAACAAAAATAACAAGCTGTTTTCTTAACTGCACTTGCCTTCTTCTTAAGCAATGAACAATGGACTTATACAGCACAAACTTAATCCAGGACAAACAGTGAAACAGTGACTGAATCTTGATGTACTGTGAGAGTGTTTTCTCTAAAAAGGGTATCGCTCCCGAGAATGAGAATGATATCATCTGCAACAGCCAAGGACAGCTACTTTGCCTGGCTTTGTTTTGAACCAAGTTCTACTGAGACTGGGAAAGCTTCCAAGATACAATTCTGCTTTTTTATTTTGATGGCAATCTGGTTTTAAGCAGGTTGCCAGAGATCAACTCTGGATAATCTCTAGACCCATGTGCAATGCTTAGTGGAACCATTTCATGGCTCACTACAGTCAGCCAAGCAGACAGACTGGTCCTGCTTGGGAGTGGATAATAAAACAAATGAGACAACTGCAGGAACTGAACTGATTATTTAGTGCTGTCTGAATGTTTCATGCTTTCATTCTTCTTGAAGCAACTAAGTAGATCAGTTTTCTATGTACATGAATATGAGCATCTGGACACCCTAGGTGGATCTCCTAAGAGGCTTACCGAATACAAAAACAATCAATCAGCCAATCAAACAAAACCAACACAAGGATAGCTTTGCTTTGCTTAGGTATATTAGAATTCAAGAAGAGGAAAAACACAGTGGCCATATTCTGCCATTACAGTGGCTAGCTTAGATCAGGTATGGCACTACTGGCACCCAGTGATCAGCACTGCTGCACGTGGCATTATCTGCAGACTGAGATGTTTAAAGCAGAGGCAGTCTGCATGCACGTTACATGCCTTGGCATCCAGCAAAAGGTTATCTGGTTTAATATCTCTGTGGATGAATCCCAGCTGGTGAATAGCATCTATGGCCAACACAGTTTCAGAAATGTAGAACTGCGTCTCCTCTTCTGATAAGGTGTCTTTCTTCATTAACAAGGTCATCATGTCACCTAATCAAAGGATAGAAAACAGTGTATGAATGAGGCTGATTCTACGTGAAACCCACTAGATTCCAAATTTAATCTCGTAACCAGCCTCATAGCTACTAATTATAAAACTGTTAATGCAAGGACCTACAAACTCAACATACTTTTTCAGTAAACTGGAAGTAGAATTGTTGCAAATCCTAAATAGGAATTTTAATGGATAGCCCGGAAAGATACAGCAAATTTTAACGCATAATACACATATAGCACAAAAATTGTTTGAACAAGAGTTATTTTTTACTGTTTCTAGCTTTGCCAGTAAAAAGCAGAACGTATGATTAGAATTATTATTCAATCCAAGCCTATCTGACATCTTGTAACTCTTTCCCTTTCCCCACAGATCAGCAAAGGTTACACTACTGGGACCCTGTTTAGAACAGCATTAAAATTCACATCATCTCAAGTGACAGCATGCTTGTTTCTATATTTTTAGAAAGCTCACAACAAAAGATAAGGAAGTCTTTATATCACTTTTCAACACAACACATAGCTTACCTCCAGGTAAAAACTCCATGATCAAGTAAAGGTTTCTTTTATCCTGAAAACTGTAAAACATTTTCACTACCCATGCTCCATCTGCTTCAACCAATATATCTCTTTCTGCTCGGATATGGGCCACCTGGAATTAAAAAACAAACTTTAATAAAAGAATAATTTAAATATTTAAACACCAAATGCCATACTATGCATATTCCTAGTCATAGAATCATAGAATGGCTTGGGTTGGAAGGGACCTCAGGGATCATCAAGTCCACTACTACACATTTTCATTATCTTCAAAAAAATCAGTTATTTTTCATACTTTTTCTACTCCCATTTTTCATAGTTTTTGCTAGATTCTAGGAAGTCCTTGCAAAATATCAGCTTTCCATAACTTCTCAGAAGTAATCTCTGGAAATACAACACATGGCTTGTTAAGCATTCTGTTTGTTGGGTAGAACTGCAAAAGCTGATAGAAAACTGCTATTCCATTTTTATTATATCCTATAGCATTCATAATAATAACAATAACAACAACAACAACAACAATTTTTAAAAAAGCTCCACAACGATCAGCTCTGCAAAACAGTAGCTCTACTGCTAGCACAGTTAAAAATTCAGTGTGCAACTCAGTGTGCAAATACTGGTAAAACTATTGGAAAAAAAAACCAAACATTTTGCATTAAAGAATGCAAGAGCTAGCAGATAAAATAGAAGATGCTTAATGATTCCTGTCAGAAGGTACCAGTTTTCTCCTATACGTATACAAATAAAAGGTAAATAACTGTTTCTACACAGATAGCTCACTGTTTACACTCAGCAAAGTAAGCCTACAAAATCCCTTTGCAACAGTGATAAGAATGGCTAAACTAATTACTTCTTGTAAAACCTCCTATCTCCATTGCTGTGAAAGAAACATTTGACATAAAGAGAACTATTATGCAGCTCCCAAACCCACACATTACTAATTGTGTTTGAACTGCTTTTCAAATGGTACCCAGAGACTGCTCCTATCTGTGCACATGGTGAAGCTTACTCCAAGCGCAAGTGCCTCGGCCAAGGGGAAAAGGGCTGTGATGAGTCTTGGTCCATAGAGATGACCTTAAGTAGCAGTGAGAGCTGAATGGCCACTACTGAAGAAGGGCTTGGGCTCTTTTAGCTGGGGGAAAAATGGAAGAGAAGATGGAGCCATTCCTTCAAGTGACATATACAAAGCTGGCCCAGCACTGGTACAGCCACCACTGCTGCTGTGGCACATCCTGGGCAAGTGACTGGGAATGACTGACCATACTTGGGACATTTCAGTCCCAGCTGGGCATTGGACAAACGCTGAGAGCTGCTGCCCCACGAGTTCCCTGGAAACTAATGGTAATGAAGACCACAGAAGGGCGTATGCATTACTAACGTGTACCCTCAGGGCAGAGAAAATTGAAAAACATATATATGGAAGGATATTTATTGACATAACAGACAAAATTTTATATTTCATATAACAGCAAACAACTTCTGGAAAGAAAATAAGTACTATGTGCCACTATCCCAGCATCAAGAAATATTTCCAATAAGCACCAAACAAAGTTTTCTGCATCTCTTTCTCAGTTTGAACATCTTTCTGATGCATCTTTTTCACAGGGCACTGGGTTCCCTCTCAGTAGTAGACACTCAAATCCAATTTATCTAGTCATATCTATTGCTTAGTCTCACATATATACATATATATATATACAGATAGCTCACTGTTTACACTCAGCAAAGTAAGCTATATATACCAATGCATATATATATATATATGTATATGTATGTATAATGTATATATATATATATTTCCACCCAGCATTCTTCCATTTCCAAAGGTAGCTACAAACTGTAAGATTAAAAACTTGCATAAAAAGCAGCCAGAAAAATGTCCAAGTGCCACCACTTTTGAAAGTTGTATTTGCATCCTGTGATACGTCCCACTGAACAAACCTGGCAATGGAAGTTACAGCAGGTAAATACTCCCCAGAGGAGCTTGCAGCTCCAGCCTAAAAGCAGTGGCTGAGCTGAGCCTCTTTGCCACATCAGGTTATGAAATGGGGGCAAGGCTTCAGCCAGCGGGGCACACACATCCTGCCTCTGGGACACACAATACTGCTTTCGTTTCCTACTTTTAAAGCTCAGGGTTCCAAGACAAAAACCCTGTATTATGATAAAAAGTAAGTAGAGGTACTAATACCAGTACAGGAGAATATAGAACACGAACATGGGTTTTGGATAGGTAAGTGTATGGGAACTGCTGAGTCACGGCCTGAACCTCTGATTGATCACCTGAGGTGAGCCATGAGTCAGCCAGAGGAGCACAGGTGGAGGCAATTCACCTGTGCTGCCGGAAGGGGTGGAACCTGGCTGCACCCCTCCTAGACCTATTGAAGAGCTGGCTACCAGTGGGGAAGGATCTCTTCTGGAGGTTGCCTCCTCTGGTGTTTTGTAGGTGAGCCCAGCATAAGGGTAAGCCTTCCATTTGTTCTCTTTTGTTATCATTGTCCACTTTGCCTAACTCTCTTGATTATATTGTGATTGTAACATCTTGATATCCATTGATTATACAGTAAGGAAGAGTCACGGAATGGCTTAGGTTGGAAGGAACCATAAAGATCGTATGATTCCAATCCCTCTGCGGTGGGCAGGGCTGCCATCCAGCAGCTCAGGGCCCTATCCAACCTGTCCTTGAACTCCTCCAGGGACTGGGCACCCACAGCTTCTCTGGGCAGCCTGTATCACTGCCTCACACCACCCTCTGAATAAAGAATTTCCTCCTCATTCTCTTTCGCCCTGTCACTACACTCCCTGATGAATATAGTCCTGTCCCAGCTTTCCCCATAGGCTCACTTGAGGTACTGAAAGGTCACACTGAGGTCTTCCTGGAGCTTTCTCTTCTCAAGGCTAAATAACCACAGCCTTCTCCAGCTACACTTTTGTTTGAGACATCTACACTTGATTTTTTTTCTTTGTGGCGCTAAAGAGCTTGCTGTGTCCTATTGGGGAATTTACAATGAATTTCTGATTAGAAAGCAAAAGCAAATAAACAAAAATCCAACTAAAAAGCAAAACAAAAGAAAAACAAAGCCAAATAATGAATAACACGACACCTGCTGGTATCTAACCACCAAAAGAAAACATCATGCATTCTCAGTTTTTACTTCGGCTTTTCAAGAAGTATTTTCTTTGAGATGTAATTTTACAGATTAAGGTCTACAGGGCATGCATTGGTAAAGGAAAAGACTAGAAGAAAAAAACACCATCTTGATCACTGTTCCAAGCAGTTGTAAATAAAACATTTTCAAAATGATGTTGCATGACCTTATTTCTTAACTACTACTCTATACTCACATAGCAACTCCATAAATGCCTTGGGCTGCAGTTCGATTATGGGGGCCATAGAATTGGAAAATATGACCAAATACAACTCTGGAAATTTTCTAGGCCATGTAACTTTGAAATCTAGGGGACTTATACAACACAAACCTGTTCTTTCTCCAGCATATCTGCTTTTCTTAGTATCTTCATTGCATAAATATGACCTGTATCCTTCTTCTGAACAAGACGTACCTTTAATGAGAAAAACAACCCAATCAGTCTCACCTAGCCCCATACAAAATATAGAAGGCTCTAAACTGGAGGGGGGGGGGGGGGGGAGGGCACAGAAAGTTTCTTCTCTTAGATATTGAAAAACATATGGATAAAGGAGTATTTCCACATCATGTACAAAGCCAACACAAATGATGAACAGATAGTTGAAGCAATTGTTGTTAACAGGCACACAGGAGTCCAGGTAGCTGTGAGATTGTGTATGCTACAATTCAGGAACAGGAACAACCATCACGTAATGCAGGGCAGGATTTTTATGGAGTGGAGCTGTATTACAGCAAATCCTCCATTTCAGGGGGGCTGCACAAACACCATCAGCTGGGGCTAACATGAAGCTGTGAGAAACTAAGACCCTTTCCACAGGCCTTGATAAATCCATGCTCATAGTTCACTACTGGTCTCACTACACATGCACAATTATTCCAACAGCTGTTCTCCTGCAACAAAACTTTTTGTTCTACAGTTAAAATCTTTCCTTTTAATTTTCAATCCAATTTTAATATCCCGTTCAAGGGAGAGAGTCACAAACCTCCCCAAATGCTCCTCTTCCTATTACTTTCAAAGATTCAAAGTCATCCAAGCCGAGTCTTGTTCTCTTCAGTCGCAGAAATTCTGTTTCTTTGCGAGCATGCTGTGACCTGCGCAGTTTTTTCTGAGAAAGTACATACATGAGAATTCAAATCATCTTACAGAAAGCCCAGATAGATAGTCACTCTTCCTGTGAAGCACTGTCTCTCATTAGGGGTACAGGGAAAATCTTTCTGAATTTCTTCAAAGTGTGACGCACAAACACAGTCATTCATAGAGGGGTCTCAGGCCTACATCTCGTTTTATTTTTGGTTGTTATTTGGATATAGAGAAGCAGGGATAAAAATCAATGAAAAAAAATCATACTGGTTTAAAGTCCATCAGTTCAAACGCCAAAGTCACCAGCTAAGGCAAGGACTCTGTTTTTGAGCAGCATAAAACAGTAAAAGGTAAAACCTGCACCTCAGCAGACACAGCAATGACAGGCAACAAGGAACCTAGGCAGGCAGCAGAAATCCAACTTACGCTATCCTATAACAAAAACCATTTATTTTACTGCAGAAAAATACTTGCATTTGAAAGAATGATCTATCTCAGTCCTGCCATATTTTTTGTCCCATAAAAACAAAGGGATTCACCTTGAGAAAAGATGAATGCCAGCCTATGCTCCCAAAGATGCCAAGATCTCAGAGGCTGTTAATGTGACTCAAAAAGCAGGCCTGACAGATTTTGTATAATGACAGTGTCACTAGAAACCACAAGATGGCATCAGACATCCACATTAGCCTTCCTCTCTTTCCAGAAGTTACATCAACCCCACAAACTTGAGAAATGACCAGAAATGACTAAGATGCTGTCACTATTTATTCCACTATCTATTCCGGATGCAGTACAGGCAGAAATGAAATGGTCAACCTCAGAAAAGTACGCAGACATGCCCATATTCAAACGTAACAAGGAAGCACCTGTTTTATTGTTTAAATCAAGGGGAAAAAAAACAGTTCCGCATTTTGCTTTCTACCCAGTTCTTCCACTGCATCTCATCCTTTCCTTATCTGTACATCAAATTACATGTCTCACAGTTTTAAACTTTGTAAAAAATGTCATGTTATAACCTTGCTGTGGTCATATATTTCATAGTGATTAAAGCAGCATGAAGAGCACCTTAGCTATTCAAAGCCTTGTATTCAAGCATATGCACAGCTTTCTTTGTTATTTACAAAAGCAGCACTCACAATATAAACTTCATGTGACGCCAGCTAATGTTTCCATAAACTCAAACACCAACTTTTAGAAATGCGAACAAAAAGCAAAGCAATCTCTTCAAAGGTTACTCAAGTAGTATTACCTCCTCATCTGCTAGGCCTTCTTCATCCATAGCTACTTCTAGCTTCTTCTGCCTGCAGAGAGGAAAAACAAGACATTTATTTATTTTTAATAAAAAAAAAAAAACCAAACACCCCATACCATAGCACTACAGACTACTTAGTTGAGATACCAAAGCATTTGCTTCAAACAGAAGTATGAAAACTTATTGCCAACTCCACACATTTACTCACTTGTAAGTATGTTGAAAACATATAAGCAAATTTAAGCCCATTCTTATGTGCTCGCAAAATTCCCCTCCTCCCAGCACCCTGCCTGGATTAGGGCTCCTGGGCTCCGCAAATGGTGCATGGCCATGCTGGGTGGTACCAAGTGTACAACAAAGCCTGGGGCAACCCACAGGTGGGGGTGACAGCACACATGGCAAGGGAGCCAGCATGTCTCCTGGAGCTCTCTTTGCTCATCCCAAGATGCCTCTGTATAGCCTTCAAGATGCGGTTTCATGAAGTTGGTCGCCCACTGGTAGCACGTGCGAGTTTCAACACTGGGTGCCAGGCTGCTCCTGCCTTATCTGCGTTAAGTGCAGCAGGATCCCCTAAATTAAAGGCCCTCTGCAGACAGTCTATCTGTCTAACTAGAGGCAACCCAATTGCATGGGATAATGACTAAATGTGATGAAGTGGGAAACCCTGCTGCTTAACTGAAAGCCCCTCAATTAAAAACATATTAGCAAGAGAATGATAATTTCACATGGTGACGACAAATTGAAACACAACATTCATTATAATCAAGTGTTTAGTGCTTTGACACTTAATTCAAGCAGCACTTCACCACAGTGGATGCTGAACTGTGCAGCAATAAGAGGAGCTAAAGCAGGGATGACTAATGTGCTCCCTTCCACAGAGCACCAGTCAGTGCCACACAGCAGAAATGTAGAAGTAGGTGTTACGTTATCCCTAAAACTCTTTCTTCCCATCCATTTCCTCCTTTTCTACTTCCACATGTTCCTTTCTGCAGACTTCACGAGTCTTGGCAGGGGCTCAGTGCTGCAGAGCATGAATAGACACCACAAGCCACTGTCTTACACAGAAACAAGTAACTAAGCATCAGCAGCTCTGCAGCATCTGCCTCTGTAGGGTTTATTCCCTGTGGCACACATGAAGGAATCAAAGGTTGCCAAAACCACAGGCACAATTGGAAACCCCACATGAGCTGCAAAGTGAGACCACGTGCCTACTGGTTTCTACAAAGTAGTAATAATTAGAGGTGGTGGTAAATCATATGAGAATTTGAAGAGTGGAGGTCTTCAGTCATTTGGGGACTCCTTGGTGCAATGGCAGGAGATGTTCACAGACGATCATTTCCTCGCTACCAACCATGAAAAACTCCTGAGACCTGCTCTGTTCACAGAGCTGAAGGTGCCCCACCACCAACATCCAGCCGAGAAGTGCCGGGGAGCAGTGAAAGCAGAGTGGGTACCTGGTTTCCCTCTCCTCATGCTGGATAATCAGGTTGCTATAGAAGTTCTCCAGTGTGAGCTTGGCCACCGTCACTCTCTCGCGGGTGTGGTTGCTCATGGGAAAGGATGTTGTGGTCCCTGCAGTCATCGCCATGGTAACACACACTGAAACAAGAGCACGGCAATCATTACGCACTTGGAAAAACAGACACATGCACACCTCTTTTCCACCATCCATCTCCAAATTCTTAGATGCTATAGATTTCAAGGAAAAGCACTTTTCTTTATATGTAAGAAAACACATTAAAAAAAAAAAAAAAAAAAGCATTGTAAAAGTATTTTCAGCTAGCAAGACTCACTACTCACTCTCTAAAACAAATAACTTGTTGGCAAAACAAAGGGTGAATCATAGCAAAGAGCTATGCAGGCTCTGGGCAGCTCATCCAGCCACAAATTAGGAAGATGTCTGTCCAGTAGGCTCAAGCACAGTCCAGGGGACGAAAAGGCCCCTGGAGATAAAATGAAAAAGTAAATGAAGAAAACCCCTAACCCTATCCAGAGGGGAGGTGAAGAATATAAAATAACCAATTTATATCTTAGAATATCTTAGCAGCTCACAAAACTGTATTGTCAGAGCCACATGTACACACGTCTTGAACACCTCCAGGGACAGCGACTCCACCAGCTCCATGGGCAGCCTGTTCCAATGCATCAGCACTCTTTCAGAGAAGAAACTCTACCAAATATCCAGCCTGAACCTCCCCTGGTGCAACTGAAGACCATTACCTCTCATCCTACTGTTTTTACTTAGGAGAAGAGACCAAACCCCACCTTATCATAGCCTCCTTTCAGGGAGTTGTAAAAAGCAACAAGGTCTCCCCTGAGCCTCCTCTTCTGCAGACTAGAGTCCACGTTCCCTCAGCCATTCCTTATAAGACTTGTGCTCCAGATCCCTCACCAGCTTCACTGCCATTCCTTGGGCATGGTGCAAGGACTCATCCTATTTTAAATGGAAAACTTATGTTTCCTGTTCTATTTTTGAAGCAACAGCCAGCCATGGAGAACAGAACCCTTTCCCCACCAGCAGTGCATTAAGTAGCCAGCATTTCAGCTTAACTCCTGTGCCATGCTGACAACCCAACAGGAGGTTCCTGCAGGTCCCATGCTTTACAGAATTCCCCATGTATGGGCTCTGCAACTCTGGGTGAACTCTTGGAAGAGCAGACTTGAAACACAGCTGCAAATACATAACCTCTGGAGATAAAGCTCTTCTTGCTTAAGGCACCTGGCTCCTAAACCTTTAAAAAGTGGTAAGAGAGGAAAAAAGAAAATGTAAAGCTCTTGAAGACAGCAGCCTTTCCATCTGAAATCTGAGGAGCTAAATTGTGCCAGAACAACCCTTGTAATATTGGACAAAGCATCCTCGGGCAATCGCAAGCTCCTTGCAGGTGACCTAGGTTAAAAACAATGCAGCTTGTCCTAGGAGGATCGGTGCCTCACCTGGCTTTGGGCTGATGCACACAAGGAGAGTTGCTGTCCCACTGCAAGGGCAGTCACAATTACCTCAGCCCAGTGTTGGTTTGATCAAGATAAGGTGGCTTTTTCTGTTTGTTTTTTTTTTTTTTATGGAAAACTGCACAGAAGTAAATGCTCTTCCTTTTAGTTGTTTATGTAACCTTTCTATTTTACCAGAGGATATTGAGGAAGATAAATCCTAAATTAGGTTTATGATCTTCAGGAAGAGCTTAATACCTTTTAAGGTGAAAGAATTCGAATTTTAGTTTCATATGAGAAATAGATTTGCATCTTTCCATCACACAAGAACAGTTTAATTCTGCCATGCTTTTCTGATTTGTTTTGGATTTGACAGCTACTGTGAAGCCAGCATTTAAACTTGTGGATTTTTAATTGAATTTGGTATGACAATAAGATACTTGTTGTCATACATGCAGCTGTTGTGTCACACATAAAGGCTTTTTATAACATTAGACGGGCATTATTTTAGCCGGGTATTTGAGTGTGAGAGACTTCAGAGTTTGGAGAATGAAAATGTATCTCTACATAAACACACAAAGAGGTTTCAGGAGCATTACAACTGTTTATGGCGACACAGATCTTTCTTTTTTTAATCACTCTTTTGTCCCCTGCAGTTTTCTACTAAAGAAAGACAAGAGCTGTCAGCTGTCAGTAATCTTTACTAGAAATTCAGGGGTTACATTTTCCACATGAGCACATACCCCATACTGGACACTATTTCAGAAGTTAGAGAACTGGGCAGTAGCCTTCTCTCCCTCTTCCTTGATGGGTGGGGAAAGATAAACAGAAAGCAGGTATTCGAGAGCAGAACCAGCAGCAGGTAGATAACATCCAATCCAATCAAACACAACAACTGCTGAACACACGCTGGCATCTGTGTGTGCCCAAAAAGCAATCTGATAAAGCAAAATCTCACCTCCTGATTGCTTTAGAGCGCCCGGGTTAGCGTAGCATCAACCCAAGCTTGGAACAGATTAACCTTCCTTAAGGTAAAGCAGGACCTGTCACCAGCAGGCAACAGGCTATTTACCACTTGCGTGGCTTCTATTCCTAGCAGGATAAAATAACTCTGCAATTTCATTTCCTGTTAATTTGTTTTCCCCACGCTCCTATACTCACAAATGCAGACGTTACCAAATAGCAAACCTAAGTCACTTGATTTTATTAAGCCTGTAAAAAGGAGATAACAATTCTGGCACTAGCACACCATGCTATATATAGCAGGGCTGAACTCGACTGTGGTCGTAGAGCAGGAAAACGTAGAAGAGAGCCCAACCAGTAACTTAACTCAGAGAAAGCTATTTAACAGATCAGGACCTCATATTGAGCTCAGTATCACATCACGCTACATGCCCACCAGAGCAGAAGGGCTGCATGAGAAAGAACCTAGTAGACTTTTGCTCACGTTGCAGTTGGTGCCTGTACCCAAGTGGCCACCAGTTTGCTCCAACACTGTGGGGAAAAAAAGCTTTGTAAAAGTAGAAAGCTCTTGAGCTCTCCAGGTTCCCCAAACTAAATGGAAAGGAGTGCAGAGGTGGTGGGAGATCCAAGGTACTCTGCAAAATCCAATGTCAGCTCAGCAGAGAAAATCTGTTCATCCTTTTTCCTCCTACCTCTCTACTTTCACTAACAAACCCCAAAACAAAGTAATCAAAATCCCTAAATATGGGCTTTATATAACAGAGGATACCTGAGGGGATAGAAGCAGAAAGCAGCAGCTTCAAAATGGAACCTTTTACTGACCTCACCAGATTAATGGCAACACTTTGAAAAGGTGCCATCCATAGTTCTTGGAAATACCCTCAAAAAACATGACTAATTCACCCAAGTTCATGCTATCTGCATAATGGCAGCATTCTCCTCCTGCTGCATTACCAGCATCGCAGTAGACTCCCTGCACCATGAGAAGGTCACATTAACCACCCTGCATTTGGCTGAAGCTCTTCTGGCTGAAGACTTTTCTTTCCAAAGGGCCTGTTACTTTGGAAAAAAATGACACACCACAAGCTCTGGATGAAAGAATGTCAAAAAAAAACCCTGTAATGGGTGGGAGACAGTGCGTAGTCCCTGGGACAAGGCTCCTGAGCTGCCAAAAGCAGAGGAACCGTTCAAACTCATAGCCTCCAGATGGGATAGCTTCCATCTATCGTGGCAGCTCTATGTCAAAGCCTTAATGGATTCTTCTAGCAATGCCTCCACTGTTGAAAATTCCATGCCCAGCTCTTGCTACACTACTGGTGGCTCAAAACTCACGATCCTACCAGGATACTTCTTGGCAGCTCCCACAGCCCATCATTAGTGGTTTCATATTAGACTTGTAGATTAAGGTTCTGGTTAATTAAAGCAAAACAATGGAAGCAACTAATTCCACTTAAAAGCCCAGAAAAGAAAAAATGGAAGAAACTGAGCACCTGCAGAGCTAGTCTCCCCAAAAAGAAACACTTGGCCCTTCACTGGGGTCACCTTCTAATCAGGAAGGACAAGAATACAAAGTCCAAGTTTCTTGCACGTAGCCTCTAGCTTTCTCAGCTCCAGGGAAGGCATAAAGGTATCACCTGCCAGGAAGGAAGCACATGCATTATCACCCTTGGTAATTTCAGAGGCTATTTTTACTTATCCAGACGTGTTACAAGATGTCAAGAAATGCACTTTATTACCTTATGCCATACTTCCCATCCTGCAAAAATGTAGCAGAAGGACAGGGATGTGGAGTAGACAGCAAAACCTTATCACTTTTACATCACCAAATATTGGAACTGTAGTGATTGTGAACAGGCAAACGTCTCACTGAGAAAGTTTTCCCTCCCTCCAACAATACAAAAATCCACCATTTCAGGTCCATCTGACACTTTTCTGACCTTTCACATACACATTTTTAGCAAAGAATACGTGACAGCATGCTACAAGCAGAGAAAACTACAGCCAAATGTTTCATGAAACCATGCAAGTCCCAGAGTAAGCTTACTCTGGGCTCATTACTAAATGCATATTTAAGTTAAGGAGCAAAAGCCACAATTCTTTCAGAGAAAAAAGCAAGCTTTCCTCCACATGACAGAACTGTGGTGCCTTCCTCATGCTTCTGGATCTCTGACATCAATTTTAAACATAAAGCTACATATACGTAAGCAGACAGTGAACATCAATCCTTCCTCTGAAAATGACTATGTCACTCCATGGTAAGGCCAATAGTTGTTTTCATTTATATACTCGAGCATACATGCCTAAACCCTAGCAACTATGGAGGCAGTTCCCTACTGCAGTAGGAGTGAAACTGCAAAATTTATGAAAGTTTCCATTTACAATGTAGTTTTGGCTCTTTAGTGGAAGCCTCTGGTAAGGAAAATGCTGAAATATATTTCTGCTTTTCAAAAGACCTAATTTTCTTAGCAAAATGCGTTTCATCATTCAACTTCCTCTTGAAACAAAGCAGACAAATGGCATTTTCAAGAATCAGAAACTTAAAGAGAAAGGAGAGATCCACTTTTGGTGTCAGACCTGTTCCAAAGTAAATGCATACAGCACAATACACTGGTTACCTTTAGAAATGCCAGAGATCAACACTGCATGTAGCACTGGAGCTCTTCTGGGTGAGAAGGCAGAGTACGCTTATTAATGCTGTGTGGCTCCGG